CAGCAAGTTCCACCCTCAGCCCAGCGTCACACAAAGGCTCTTCATGGGCAGAACAAATGTTTTGCCCCCTTCCCGCTTCACCATCCAGAAACTTAAGAAACATGGACTCAAGGTTGAGACTTGATGGAGGACATTTTTCCTTGAAACTGTATTTTTTTTTCTCTTTGACTGTGGGTGTAGTGGTGGGCCCCATAACCACAGTCGGTTTTGTCACAGTGCTTTACTTTGTATTACTAAAGCACCAACAGCTTTTCCCACTGGCTTTTGCCACACGAAAGGGTCAATAATCTCACTTTTGTTTTCACGAAAAGTACATTACACCGTAGTGTAGTCCGGGGAGAGTCACTGTAATAGGCTTATACTGCTCTTGCTCAGTGTGCTAACATAAGCCCTTTTCTGTTGACTTCCTGTTCTGTCAGATGGTGGCTTAGCATCTCTGTATTAAAGCAGCCCCCCATTTTCCCTTTCTTTATCACCTCAATGTAATCATATCACAGTGTTGCTTTAAAAAGCACTTAATGTTTATTTTCTTGTAATCGTGTGAGTATTCTTCACTACTAAGCCTGGTAGGGGAAAGTGAGTATTTCCTTGCTTACACAGTCATTTTCCAAACTTAAGCAATTTCCCTATTTTCCATTCCATGTCTCATTCCCCAGTGTTAGCAGACGCTCTGGGATTCTGCTACACAAATCAGCTTCTTTCTCTAGGGTGTCCTTGCGGGATTGGTTCCAGGACTCCCCTGTGGATACCAAAACCTGCAGGTGATCAAGTCCCTTTTCTAAAACTCTTTTATTTGCATATAACCAGTGCATATCTTTCATATATCTTATATTTTTCTTGGTGCTAGGAAATCAAACCCACGGCCTCATGCCTACTAGGCAATGTTCTGCCACTGAGCTACATCCCCAGATCTTCCCACACACTTTAAATCACTCTAGATTACTTTTAATACCTAACACAGTATACTAGAATGTAAGTGCTATGTTAATATACATTATACTATACTGTTTGTGGGAATAATGACCAAAAAAAGCCTATACACATTCAGTACAAGATATTTTTCTAAATATTTTTGACCCACGATTGGTTGAATCTGAAAATCTGGAACCTACAGATAGGGAGGGACAAATGTACTACTTTGTATTTTGACCTACAGTAGATTCTTATTCTTGTTATTTGTTTTTATGTGCTCAGTTCTGTGGCCCTATCCCAAATTTGCCTTAATTCTCCAATCAGCTTGTGAAACTTGTAAATATTTTCTGTTCCATGCAGGTAAGCCTCGGGCACTCCTTCAGGCCCATTTGTTTTTCTCTAGAGAAATCCCTTCTGGCACTCCTCTTTCTCCTGCTCCAATATGAAGCAGGTCCTCACTCAGCCTTCTTGCTCAGATACTTCCCAGCCCCTCAGAGCATGGGCCATCTGATGGGGCATCTAAAAGCAATTTCCCTATTTTAAGCTCTATGTCTCCTCCCCTCTCGTTAGCAATCTTGTGCCTCCAAATCCCCAAATGCTTTGGGATTCTGCTGCATGAATTGACTTATTTCTCTAACATCCCATGTGGGCACTTGGTGTTCAGAATTCTCAACTCTCTTGGCTCCTCAATGTGTTCTCCATCTTCCAAAAGCTTCTGAGGTCTCAGGTCTACTTGGTCTTCCCTCTCATTCTTTTGGTCTTCATAGTTTTCTACCTTTAAGAATTTTTTTATCTCATGGTAGGAGCATTTCAGGAGAGGAATAAGGATGAACAATGGGTTCGACACATTGTGTTTAATTGGAAGCCCAGGATTTGTATTTGGAGCCACACATGCTCTGAGGATCAGTTCCTACAGGCTCCTGGGAGTCCTGGTAAGATGTGTGCACTGAGAGATTGGTGACCCCATCTCAAAAGCTGCACTCACTGTGTACTGGTTTTCCGTTTTCTCTTTTGACAAATCTACCAAACACTTATTTTCTAAGTACCTACCATGTGACAGGGCACTGGTGTAGTTGCTGGGATTATAGTAGTAAAAATAATCCCATGTACTTTACAGTCTAGTGAGGGGAGCAAACAATGACCAAGTATATATCAGGTGATGTCTAATAAGACAGCAAAAGAGGATGATGTGATAGAGTGAAGATAAGGTGGCCCATTGGAGAAGGGTCTGAGGAAGAACATTCCGAGGAGGTAACATTTCAGCTTTGGCCCTGTTAATAAGAGGATCTCTCCTTACGAAGATCTGGGAAAAGTACAAAAATTCCATGGCAGAATTGGACGTGGTGATGCACACCTGTAATCCTAGCACTCAGGAAGCAAGAGGATTGTGAGTTCCAGGCCAACCTGGGCTATGTCATGAAATCCTGGGTTTTTGTTGTTGTTTTTAAAAAAAAAAAAATCCACTGTGAGGAATAGCTAAATGTGCTCACAGAATACAAAAAAGACCAATATGTCTAGAACATAAGGAAAAGAAGAGGGAGGTGGGTTCAGATGTCAGGGCTGAAAAGGCAGATTTGGATGTTATCCCAAGTAAAGTTTTAATTGAAACTGCTGGATGAGATGAGATGGCAAAAGGAGAGAAAGAAGAGAAAGAGAATTGTGCTAGGCACTGTGGATGCTGCAAGAGCAGATAAAGCACTGTCCCTACCTTCAAAAAATGTATAACCTAGGGCTGGGAGCCTGACTCAAGTGGTAGAGTGCCTGTCCAGCAAGTGCGAGGTCCTGAGTTCAAACCCCAGTATCTCCAGAATTTACCATCTAGTGAAATTGGTCAAACAAGACAAGTTTTCAAAACAGAGGCTAATAGAAGACAATATATAATCAAGTTTCATATGACATAGTACAGCTTTTTTAAAGGTGAAATTAGAAAAATAACCACTGAGAGTTGGTAAAATGTAGCTTTGTGTGGAGGTGATATCTAAGTCAAATTTTGATGGATGAGTTATATTTGAAATTACTGAAAAACAAAGGAAGAAAATCTCAGATAGCAAAACGTGAGCAGACTTGAATATGGAGGTGACCAGGACTTGTTTCTAGGACAGGAAAGAACAGCCTGACCGTTGGGAAGTAGTTGAATAGGTGGGTTTACTTTAATGGGCTTTACAATGTTGATTTCTAAAGGGTGGGAGGAAAAGTTAAAGCACTGATGGTAGGAAAGGTTAGTGACTACCAGGGTGCCTTAATTTTTTTACATGGAACAGAATCAAAATCTATCCACTTAATTACTTTTTGTTATGTTGATTAATAAATGTTATTTCAAAAATGGAGCTATGCAAGGTGACACATGCTTATAATCCCAGTACTTGGGAGGTAGAGGCAGGAGGATCTCAGGTTCTAGGCCAGTGTGGTCTACATTGAGAGACCTGGTCTCTCATTGGAAACAATATAAAAGGGTAGAGTGAGACAACTTATTCCTATCTGTCATCATCCATTTCCCTTCACCCCTAACAGGTAGCCACTTTTGATTTGCATTTTATCTTTCCAGTTGTGTTTATGCCATCTGAGCCTCTGGGTAGAATCCTTTCCCATCTCTTCCTAGCTTCTGGTGGGTGCTGTCAGTTCTGAGTATTCCTTGGCTGACAGCTCAGCTGCATCACTCCAGTCTCTTCCCCCATCATCAAATCGTGTTTGTTCTTTCTTTCCTTCCTTTTCCTTCCTGCCTGCCTTCCTTCTTCCCTTCTTTCCTCCCTCCTTCCTCCTTCCTTTCTTTCTTTCAGTACTGAGACTTGAACTCGGGGCTTGGCTCTCCACCACTTGATCCATGCCCTTCTTATAATGACCCCAGTCACATTGGATTAGGGCCACCCTGATGACCTCACCTTAACTTGATTCCATCTGCAAAGACTATCTCCACATAAGGTCACATTCTCAAGTATTGAGGGTAAGGACTTCAACCTATCTTTTGGGGAGAGCCATAACTCAACCCATAACTCCCAATTTCTTACAGCGCTATCTCCCTATATGTACTATTTTGTAACTTACTATTAAATTTAACTAATATCTTGGAGTTCTTTCCACATAAGTACTTAAGTGATCTTTCTTCATTCTCTTTTTAGAGCTGCAGAATGTTCCATTGTGAAGCTGTGTCACAGCATCAGTTCTTTGTGAATAGTAGGCTCATTTCCAATCTCACTGTTTCATTGAGTAGCCTGTACACTTATCATTTTGTAGGTATGCAAGATTCCAACAAGTGTTCTGTTGCAAGAATAAATGCATCCATGACTTTGGCAGTGTTGCAAGGTTCCCTTCATAGCATGATGAGATTTTTACATACCCACTAACAATGTATGAGAGTGATCAAACTTTTAGTTTTTGCCAAACCCTTGTGTGACAAATGCTAGAAATACCATTAATTAATGCTCATTTTTCTTATCATGTACCACCACATTTTAAGTATTATTTTGTATACATTTTTGGCTAAAACAAATCTATGCTATAAAAAAATTCTAATTTTGAGTATATAGAATTAAAATAAAAGACAATAACCTATAAAAAAAAAAACCACTTAGCTTAGGTTACTTGCCAGAGTTGGGCCACTCCTGGGAGAATATGACCCATCCTCCTTACTCTGATGACCTAAGTAATAGAACAAATGAATTCTCAGTTATGTCAGATGCAGTTTTCTAGCAGGGAATGAGCCTGCCCCACTTCACATTTCTTATCACTTTGATGCTCTCTAAATAGCTAAGGTAGTGCTTATTTAGTGCATATACCAGAAAGCTGACAGTCATTTTAGGAGAAACCAAGTTCCATATCAAAAACCCTGCCTCAGGGTTGGCAGTACTTGCTTTCTCATGGTCTTTCTTAATAGGAGTTACTTCCTAATTCCTGAGTCAAGGGTCAATGTGGTTTGAATACCAACCCATCTCGTTGTTACAATGGAATAATACCATGGCAATGGATTGCTTAATGTTCTGACTCTAAATTAAGTTTATTACAGTCTCCTGCTCAGGAATTATCTGGAGCCATCTATGTTACTGAGTGTCATGTTTTAGTTGTGTCTAACCACCATGTTCCCTGTCTTGCAGGTGGTACTGTGAAGGCAAGGAACTTGAAAATTCCCCAGACATTCACATCATACAGGCAGGAAACCTGCACTCGCTGACCATTGCTGAAGCCTTCGAAGAGGACACGGGACGCTATTCCTGCTTTGCTTCTAACATCTATGGAACAGATTCAACTTCTGCTGAGATTTACATAGAAGGTAAGCAAAATACTCTGGAGCATGACACATACTAGGAAAACATATTTATAATAAACATTTATTGAGGATCTACTCTACCACACACTCTTCCAAGCAGGGGGGATGCAGCAATGAGCTAAGTAAACAAACATCTATAGACCCATACTGATGAGTTTACATTACAATTGGAGAGACAGAAAACAAATGAGATAAATAAATAAAAACATATACTATGATAGGTATATGTAACACTATGGAAGAAATAGCGAGAAAAATGGATATATACGTGCATATGTGAGTGTGTCCAAGCATGTGTGCATGTGTTGGCTGTAATTGTAGATAGGGAGGCCAGTGAAAACCTCACTAACCAGGTGACATTTGAGGGAAGACCTGGAGGAAGTGAGGGAGTGACCACAAGGATATTCAAGGGAGAGAAATTAGCAATTACAGCAGCCCAGAGATGAGAGTGTGCTAGTTTTGTGGAGAGACAGGAGCAGGATCTCACTATGTAGCCCAGACTGGCCTCAAACCCACAATCCTACTGCCTCAGCCTCCTGAGTGCTGAGACTACAGATGGATACCACAACACCCAGTGAGTGTGCTAGCCTTAAGGCAGAGATGAGCTAGTGTGGCCAGGGTCGAACAAGCTAGGAAAAAAGTCAAAGGAGATAAAGGCCAAAGTGGGGATGAGATGGAGGGAGGGGGGTGAGCTGATTGTGTAAGTCCTTGTAAGTCATTGCAGAGACTTTCATTCTTGCTCTGAGGGAGATGGGAAATTCTGGAGGATTCTGAGCAGAAATGGCTTGATAAGACTTACTTCTTAGCAGTACCTCTGGCTGCTTGAGAATACACTGAGGGGGTTAAAGGTAGAAGTATGGTGACCAGTTGAGAGCACTGGAATGGCATTTACCTTAGTTTAACTTTAAGGAAGCAATCAATTTCTGTTCCTCACATTTCTGCCTAAAGTTTTGTTCCGACTTCACTTCATCCTCTAAGTTTTTTCTGGTGACCATTCTTTAGCATTTTTTCAACTATACATAATATCTTATGTATACCTTGTCTTTAGCACTTACATATTACAGTATTATGAAATAAACGTCCATTTATTGACTAGGTTTTAATAGTAAGTTGGTCTCATTCTTCTTTATTCTTATCTCCAATAATTTACATAGTACCAAATACATAGTAAATATTTTTGATAAACATTTTGAAAGCTATTTTGATAAACATCTATTGAATAAGTACATGACTAGGAATGTGTTGTATGTTTTTAGCCTTGACTTTTCAAAGTACAATAAATACCTCCAGATTTAGCTCTGGAATTCACTATATTAAGAACTCAATCCAGGATCAAGGCTCAGCTAACAGTGCTGAGATTGGATTGCTGGATTTTTTTTTTTCTTTATGGCAACAGGACCTCAAACACTCCCACTTCCAAGATGAAGTATGACTTGTTAATATTAGAACAGGATGGAAGAGCACCCACCCACACCTGCGATGTTTGGAATCCAGTGTGATCCTTCCTTTTATTCAATCTGTGTAGCCCAGAGCATGAGAATTTATGAACACCAGAGAATTCCTGCAAAGATTGTTCTGTTAGTTCAAGGACATCAGCAAGCGTTTTTACATACTGGAACCCTTGAATTTGGCCCAGTTGATTTGAACTCTATCACTAACTACCCATGTGACCTTGAGTGACTCCTCCAACTGTTTAGGGTCTATTTCCTCATTTGTCAAATTGTGTATCGGTGCAGGGAATCACTGAATTCATTTCGAAGTCTAAATTCTTTTTAAGGTCTTCAAATGCCTAGAAACTAGTTTAACAAATTATCATCTTAAAAATCTCATGTCTTGATTTTATTTCTTCAGGAGTTTCTTCTTCTGATTCAGAAGGGGACCCTAACAAGGAAGAAATGCATAGGTAATTCTAATTTTCTATTTTACAGACTTAGTATCCTCAGATGCCAAGAAAACTCCTAATTACTGACTAGAACTTCAAGGGGGTAGCTCCAGGGTATGACCTAAATATAAATAAACAAATACATACATCATAAATGTAGATTTGGAGAAGATTCTACTTCTTTTGCTTAATTAAGCCTTGCCTAACTGATTAATTTGAGTATTCCTAATATTTAAAAAATGAAGTGTTGCCTAGGAAATATCATCATAGTTATATCTACAGATATAAAACCAAATACTTATATCTACAAATATAAAAAACAAATAACCCAATGCTTTTTTAAAAAATCACATTTAAGTGGTACTCCCAAGAACACAAAATCTGGTGATCCTAAATTATATGTATATATTCCTAAATTATATGTGATATATAGTTTAGAATAATTTAAATTGCCATATATACGTATATTTACACACATATAATGATCTGGGCAGGTCATAACCTTTTTGCTAAACAGTAATAGTGAATAGTGAACAAAGCTGCATCCATCCATTCATCACCTTCCACAACCTTGAGTGAGCACCGACTCTACCCCAGGCACTGTACCAGATTCAATGGACAATAAGAAAAATCACATGCTTCCTGCCTTCAAGAGGTTCACAGTCTAGTAGAGGGAAATATGCAGAACGTATGGTGGTATGAGAAGAAATGAGTGAAGAGCATAGTAGCAAGAGTAATAAAGTCTGATAGACTGCGATGGCCATGCACAGGCTATACAGGATTTGGCACAAAAGACTATTGGTTTAGGAGGGAGAGAGAGATCACAAAAGGCTTTGCAGAGTTGGTAACCCTAAGATGAGTGTTGAAAGAACAGTAGGAGGATACCTCCCAAAACAAGCGGGGGCAGTCCAGGCAGGAGTCATGGGAACTAGAAACACAGCGCCTGTTCTTTGAGATTATCTTTTTTTTTTTTTCTTTCTTTGAGATTTTTCTGAAGTAAACAGCAGTATTTGGAAAACTATGCTTGTGTATTCTGACCCTCTACTGCAGAGGGTCTACTCCGTAAGGGTAGACATCATGTTTTACTCTTCAGGGTCCTTCGTGTGTCAACCTTGCAGTGATTTGCGTTTCGCACTTGCGCAGAGCAGAGGACTCCTCCTGAGCCCCTTTCTCATTCTCATGGCCTACATTCACTTCCTCCTCCTTTCCTGCTTTATGCCAGTCTCCTCCTCAGACATCTTCCTATCTGTCCAGCCTTTTTCTTTTTTTACAGTCTCCAAGGTACTACCAACTATTCTCTTTTAAAAATCACTCTAATTCTGATCCTGTCATTTTCCTGACTTAAATAAGGTTATTATCTGCAGGAAAACAGAACCCAAACGTGAAACAAATAAAAAATGTACAATCTTAAAACTGGCTTCCATACAAAGCCTTATTCAGTAGCGTATCCACCAGGCCCTCCTCCGCCTCATCCTCTCCACACTGTGACATCTCACTCAGACAATGTACGGTCCACTTTCACCTTTTCCTTCACTTTGCTAGGAATGCTCTCTCTCTCTCTGGCAATCTCCTATTTATCTTCCACAACCCAATCTAAATGTTCTCCTTCTTTGGGTTCTGTAATAAACTCCTCATCTATCACACACTCATCACTTCTTGCTCAAGGATCCCATAACCTGCTATGGGTATGAATTCTGAGATACAAACTTATATAAGCAAGAGATATCCTATTTATTTATTTGCTTTAAATCCAGAATTAGGATTTAAATTCATTTGTATATCTCAAAATAACTGTGACTTAAATGAGACAGATATTTACTTCTCACTTCCATAAAAATCAGGATTTGGATGTTGAAAGTGCTTCTCTTGCACCAGGTTCCAGTCTGCTTCCAGCTTTCTACTTCATCTCATGCTAAGGTGTGGCTTTCATGTTCGTAGTGTAAGAGGAAGACATAAGGGGCATGCTTGTCCCCCTTTTAGATCATCTCTCTTAAATTGCAAACCATTCAGCTTATCCTATGTCCAGAAAGTCGCCATGTGGCCACCCTCGCCTCAGTGAAGTATATTGTAGTCTCAATCTTGAGTAACCTAGTAAAGAAATCAAGGATTCTATTATTGTAGTAGAAAACAGATGATCTGAAACCACCATGTAATTCTGCTTCTGAGACCCCATCCTGCCTACCTTGGGAAAAAGTCAGCCTGTCATTATTTAGTGTCCTTTTCCCCTCTCCACAGTTGTACAAAGATCCCCAGGGTATATATCAAGCGGTGTGGGAGCAAGCACCATTCTATGCATCTGACACAAATTATCTCATTTAATTCTCACAAAACCATACAGAATAAGAATTCTTACTTCCCATTTTAGAAAGGAGGAAGCAGAGGCAACTAAAGGTAGCATCCAGACCAAAGAGAGAGAAGGGCTCTGTCGTAGGGTTATCTTTCCCATGGGTTGTAAGTGAGAGGTCCATGGGCCAAATCTTGGGTTCTTTAAATCCAGTGCCTGTGCTTCCTGGACTACTTCGGCACTGAAGGTTTTTGAAAGACTGGAGCCCTCTATCCAGAGGGGTTGGCATCCCCTTCGATTTTGTCTCTTGTCAGGTTGTCTGGCCAGATCCACCTACAAATCCTCCTCCTCCTCCTCCTTCCTCTCCTCCCCTTCCTCCTCCTCCTTGTTCTTCTTCTTCCTCCTCCTCCTTCTCCTCCCCCTCCTCCTTCTTCTTCCCTTCTCCTCTCCCTCTTCCTCCCCACCTCACCTTCTTCTCTTTCTCCTCTCTCTTCTCCACCAAACTAAATAATCTCCCCTTGTGCAGCCTTCTTGAGAATACTTCCTGGTTTTCTTGCCCTTCAAATAATCTCTTTCATTCAATGTATATAGATTTGAAGAGCTTGTGACTTCAGGCTGTTTCTGCTTTCTGCCATGCCAAAATGCCAGAGGTAAAGATTTATAAAGCCTGGCCTCTTTCTTGAAATAAAAAGAGGAAGAGAAACATAAGAGAACAACAACAAAGCAAATCTAAAAAGTTATCTCCTGTACATACTCTTTCTTGGATTCCAGGTAGTTGTTATTATGTCTGGCTCCCTGGCTAGACTGCAAATGAGTAACAGACGGACAGGAATAGTGTCTAAAACACCTTCATGTCTGCAGTGTCTAAAAAAGTATATATCAATGAAGCTCTTGGTAAATGTAGAGTATATCAAATGAAGGTTTTTATTACATTCAACCGTAAGCAGTGGTGGCAATACTAGTTTTGCTGGAAAACTTTGCACAAACAGTTATAGTTCTGTTTTATAATCTGTATTTTAATAATTTCTCAGAATCCAGAAGACAAATGAGGTGTCGTTACCTCCCACTACCTCTGCAAGCATTCCTCCATCAGTGCCCCAAGCCCAGCCACTGGTGGCCCAGCCCAGAGTATCGACCATCCAGCAGGTACTACTAAGTGTTGTGGGCTAGGGTGGACACGCACCTGTGATGGTGACAGTCTTGTACGGCATGATCCTGCTGTCCTCTGTTGTAATTCCATCATTTTGCACTTCCAATGTATGAGATGAGTGGCTTCTATTGCGTTGGGAACTTACTCGTCAGCCTCACGGGCAGATATTGTAAGAAAAGAAGGTCTTTACAAGTTAGTCTCTGACATGCCAGCTTTATAAAGGGTGTTGCTAGCACATGTGGTGAACCACAGCTCTCAAACTGGCCCAGGACTAGCGCTCCACCCCTCAAAGCTCAGTTGCAGGCAGCTGCAAAGAACTCTGCTTTCTAAGAGCAAGCAAGACGTTACTTTTTAGAAAACAGTAAAGTCTTTCATCTTCTAAGTTTGTGATTTCTCCTCAAAAATACCTCTTATTAATAGTTTGTAGCATATAATTCCACACATTTTCCATGCATATGTAAGGATATTTATGTCTGCATAGACTTTAAAACATAAAATCATACTATCTAAATATATTTGTAAAATGTTATTAATCTGTTATTAAATGTTATTGTTTGTTCATGATAAGTATATTTAAGTATACTGATCTACAAACATTTTTTAAGAATTAATAATTACTTATCTAACCCATCTCGTTATGCAAAGAGGTCAAGTTGCAGTTCTAATCCACTGGTTTTTCCAACTGCGATCTGTGTAGCCCCAAGGTTTTCTGGAACCTCTCAGGAGGTTAGGGCTAATCATTCAGATCCATATGTTAAGGAGGAGTGGTGGATAGCACGTATTTCACAGCCACCATGACCTAGAAAAAAATGCCATCCATTCTGTCTGGAATCTAAAATTTGTGATTCATTGGCTTAGAAAACACCAGTCTTTGGATTTGGGATCCATTTTATACATGGAGTTCTATAGATATATTATACCTGACCCCCACCCTATGTCATAATTTTAGTGACCATGAATTTATTTTGTGGTTCCCTTCTAACAGTGTCAGAGCCCCACCAACTACTTGCAAGGATTGGATGGAAAACCTATCATCGCAGCTCCAGTGTTCACGAAGGTAATCCATACACGAATTCTTTCTGTCAAGGCTTCAAAGACACCACAGACATGGGGGTGGACTTGATACGAGTACACTATACATGTATGAAAGTAGTATAAGGAAACCCACTAAAAGCTTTTCAAAAGGAGGGAGGTTAAGAAAGAGTAACAAAGAATGGGGTGAATTTGATTTATATACATTATATACATGTACATAAATAGCACAATGAAACTACTCTATACAATTAATTTATGCTAAATCAAAAAATTTTAAGACACCATAGCACCGAGCACCCACATAAAGTTATAGGGTCCAAATTTTGTGATTTTTTTAAACTAGGATATGAGTATCTTATAAGTACAACATAAGGCTTAAGGGTTTTGTTTTTGGTAGTTGTTACACTGTCACTTCAAGTCCCAGGTTTCTTTTCTTTTCTTTTCCCTCCCTCCCTCCCTTCCTTCCTTTCTTTTCTTTTGACAAGGCCTCAGTATGTAGCCCAGGTAGGCCTTGAACTCATAACCCTCCTGCCTCAGTCTCCCTAGTGTTGAGATTACAGGTATGTGTCACCCAGCCCAGCTCAAGTCCCAGATTTCTAATAATTTGAATTGGGGGGCAGTTATTTTGCAGTACTGGTGTTTGAAGTCAGGGCCTTGCACTTACTAGACTGTGCTCTACCACTTGAGCCATGATTCCATTCCTAATAATAGATTTTAATAATGAAAAAAATGTCTTCCCCATTCACCGCACTGATTTCTAGGGCTGTTAAAAAGCCACACCTACAGGTCAGTACTAAGATTCTAGCAGTTACTACACAGATTTCTCTGACCTTTCCAAAAGATATTCTGGTTGCAAGGACTTGTCTTTTGTGTTCAAGGAGGTGGAGTTAAATGTTCTTAGGTTTAACAAAAAGCCTCACTCAAAGACAAAGAGCTTTCTTTCTACTCAATAGTATCAGCTATTAAGGTGCCACCAAATTCTGAGTCACATAGTCTATTTAAAACTGGAAAATTCAGTCAGGCACTTTCATTTGCAAATGCAAAAAGCAACAGCGGCCAGAGAGATTCAACAATTTAGCATGTCATAGAACTGGTTAGGGGTAGAATTAGGGCTAGAAACAAGCCCTCCCGCTCCTCATCTATGATTCTTTCCTTTAGATAATACAGACTATGTGTGCATGTTGTCTAAGACACTAACTTCAAAGATGAAAAACTGGAGTCACATTGGAGTTTTTTAGTATTATGAAGCCTATATGGGTAGAATCTAAGCCTGGATTTATAGTTCATTGTTTGTGTGAACACCAAAAAGAGATGTTATCCTCTAAGAAATATGTTTTGGTTTAGAGCAGTGGTTATCAATTGTGGTTAATCTTGTTCTCTGAGATTCATTAGTAATATCTAGACACAGTTTTGGTTGCCACATGGGAGAGTTGTGTTCATGGCACCCAAATGGGCTACTACATACCCTGCAACAAAACATCAATGAGGCCTAAAATATCAATACTGCTGAAGCACAGAAACCCTACTTTCAAGCAAAAAGGCAAAAACAGTCTTCCAGTAATATTAATGCTTGAAAGAGCCAAATCCACAACTGTCACAGAAGCATCTCTTTCTGGACATTCTGCCATGTCAGATCAGCTCGGCCACAGTGGTTCTCCAGGATTCATCAAAGGGTCCAGAATGAGCCATATTTATATAGGTGAAAGATACCTCTTGATTTTTTAGGTTCATTTCCTGTACCTGCATTTGAGGTTTCAGCCTCAATGTTTTTAAAGACTTTAAATAGGAAAGCAACATGTTGTTCCTTGATAGATACAAGTCTTTGAGAGGGAATTATGGGTGGCCGTGCGTGTGTGTGTGTGTGTGTGTGTGTGTGTGTGTGTAACATCATAGCTAACAGCTATTTCTTATCGTCTCTTATTGTCACTCTTATTGTCCTCTAGCCTCAAAACAGTATAAGTGCCAGATAAATCAGTACACTTAATTTAGCTTGTCACAACCATTTGTCACACCTTGGAGACAGTGCTGACTCTTCGAAGACAATGGTTGATAACCAGTCCCAGTAAATTCTCCTCTCTCTTGTCCTGCCCAGTCAGATAGAGACACTTATCACTACTCAATTTCAAATCTTAGGTGCTCTGTGCTCTAGCCATTCATATCACCCAGAGGATATGGCTTGTGTATTTATCACAGATAAAGCTGTTTACTTTTCTCTTTCCCAATCACCTTGAAAGCTATCAGTAATAAGAAGATAGAAGTTCTTAAAGGTAATAATAGATCCAAAGTTGTTTTTATTATTTTAAGAAGTCTGGAATTCAGTGGTAAAACACTTGCCTAGCAAGCACCGGGCCCTGGGTCTAATCCCCAGCATTGCAAATAAGAAAGAAAAACAAAAGTCTGATAGGAACCCTTAACATTTATTCTTTTGTTTTTTGTGTTTTTAGTAAAACTTTATTGGTTTTTGACTGTATAAAATAAACTAAGTCAAATGCAACTGTGGAAATTTTCATCTGCATAATGCACAAGAAGAAAATGAACATTTTTAATAAAAAATATCAATAATATCAAGGTATGACACTGGATGACAATGAAAACACAGATGCAAACAGTCACCATGTTTCACACTTGAAATTCATCCCTGTTTCCATGCGAGTTTGAACATGTTTCATTGCTTAGGAATGTTTTGTAACTATTTTGTCAAGTGCACTTGATCGTGATAGTCATGATATGACAAAACAAAATGCATTTATTCAATTTCTGTTTACAGGTGCTGTAGATTTGCAACAAAACTGAAATAGCTACAACTCTTCTAGTGCACACTGTATTTAGCCAATATATGTCAAATTTTTAACTTACAAATTAGCTATATGGAAGTATGATTTATACAAAATGAGCATATCATTCTTTGACGTTTTAACAAATATATCTCTCTATCTGTAAAACCACCATCTTAATCAAAATATAGAGTATTTCCATCAACTCAAGCACATCTTTTGTGCCACTTAGCAATTTTTTTCATGGAAGCAGCATTTTTTTCCCCATTTTTATTAGGATATATTCATTGGACAGTGGGGATTCATTGAGACAATTCCAAATAGCCTTACATTGTACATTAGTTAGATAACATTTATTCTTCACACTTAACCTTTGCTGGTTAATGAGATCATCAGGTTTAGCTGCTTTGGGTGGTGACTCTAAATACCTCCTTCTGATTGCATGCTGGGATTGGCAATGCATTTGCCTTTGGGAAATTAAAGTGGTCAAGTCTCTAAAAGCAGTTCCCTGAAGGTGAGGGGTGGGGGGGGGGTTCCTTAGGTCACAGACCCAAACTCTGAGAAACCTGTCTTTGACCTCTGGTCCTGTGCTTTCGAGTCCATAAATGGGCTCAGGGTAGTTCAGAGATAGAACACTAGGATAGGCTGTGGATCAAATTCCAGAGAGACTTATCAGCAACTGCGAGCTTGCATTAGTTTCCGTCAGTGAGGGCAAGATTGAGGTCATCGTCACTGCCAGTGTCATTAGCAAATTCTGAGTCACAGCTCTAATGGTGGGATTACGTGGCTATGAGCAATAACAGATCATTGGTGTGTGTGTTTGTTTACCCCTTTGGGGACGCCTGGCATTCCAGCTCCTGTGGCTCACTTTCTTTACTTCCCAGCATTTGTTTGCCAATTATGGCAAGAAGCCATTTTATTTTTAAGCAACGATTAGAGAGCAGAGTTTTATTTAACTCCCTTTTCCTCCTTTGGTGATAGAGAAGTAACCTTTTTAAAGAAGGTTAAGATGAACAGGAGAGTTGCCCAGCAAAACAGTGATAGAGTTTAAGAGAAAACTACAGGGTATTCCATATGCTAGATCCCTCACCTACTCACAGGTGATGCCTGCATTCCTTTGTTTATTTGTTGTGCTGGGGATAGAACCCAGGCTGGTACATGCTAGGCAAGTGCTCTACCCCTAAGCTACTGTCCACCTGTGTTTTTTTCTTTGCTGTGTTTTGTGAGCAATATTGGGGTTGAACTTAGAACTTAGTTGGCAGGCACTCTTCCACTTAAGCCATATCCCAGCCCTTTTAGCTTTAGTTATTTTTCAGATGGGGTCTTATGCTTTCTGCCAGGCCAGCTTTAGGCCATGATCCTCTTGATCTCCACCTACCGAGCAGCTGGGCGTAAGCCATTGCACCCAGCTTCCTGCCTTGTTTTTATTATTTATTATTTATTTATTGGCAGTACTGGGGTTTGAACTCAGAGCATTGCACTTGCAAAGCAGGCACTCTGCCACTTGAGAACCACCCCCAGTCAGCCTCCTGTGTTTTTCAACACACTTTAGATGGAGATAGACTACCCTCCCTCTTCTACAGTATCAAAATGACTTTCGCTGTGCTTATGGGGGACAGTGCTCACACTTCTTGAGTGTGGAGGGAGTGAGGGATCAAATTAGGATCACTGCTCCCACTCAACAGCAGCTGCTGTGGCTCCAGCTGCTTCAGCAGTAATTTGAAGAGTGCAAGGGGGCAGGGGAAGAGCATTTGAAGAGTACTTCATTATATAATAGCAGAGGCAGGAAACCCTGAAATAACTGGCCCAGTGGCCGGATCCAAATTTCTAAAGATTTCGTGAGCCTCTGTCCCCAACCCCTCAATTCCAGAGACTTGTCTGACTCAGCCATTCATGGGCTGAGTGGCAATCAAATAGAAAGGCCCTTAAGCCACTTCTTCACCAGTAAAAGTCACCTGACCCAATTCCAGCCTAAGCACAGTACACCTTCACTTGCATTGTATCACAAGTACGAAAGAGCAACTGAACTTAAAAAAAGTGAAACGGCAGAATGAACCTTGTAGCTGACATCTTCTAACCAAAAGGGCCAGCGTTTCTTCTCAAGAATGTCCCTGCATTATTACCTTGGGCCAACATCCCCTAGGCAGGAACTGTATCCTTACGACTCCTACTTACAGCACCCAACGCAGTGCTTGGCATAAACGGCACAGAGTGATTTCGTTTCGTGGTAAATGTTTCCATTTCAGCAAAGAAAGAATTCTTCATGCGTTCAGAGTGTCTTTAGGAAGAATAGAGGAAATAAATCCAGTGTCAAGTAGTCGTGGAAAACATGTTTCTTCGCTCCTTCTTTCTCTCTCTCTCTTTTCTTTTTTTTTCGGGTGGGACTGGGGTTTGAACTCAGAGCTTCCCACTTGCAAAGCAGGCACTCTACCACTTAAGCCATGCCTCCAGTCTTTTTTGCTGTGGTTATTTTGGAGATGTGGATCTCATGAACTATTTTTCAAGTACTGGCCTCAAACCACAATCCTCCTGATCTCAGCCTCCCAAGTACCTAGGATTAAAGGTGTGAGCAAAGACATGCTTCTGTTTAATATTATAATTTTTTTTCATTATTGTTGTGCCGGGGGTACATTATGACATTTACAAAAGTTCTTACAACATATCAAATATATCATAGTTGAATTCACCCCCTCCACCATTCTCCTTTATCCTCCTTCCCCTTAAGACATGCTTCTGAAGGTTCTGTTTTGTCAAGTCATCCTATAATGTCCTCCCAGATGATCAGAATGATGACACATAAAATAGATTTGTACTTTGGATACTGCTTACCTCAGGAGGTTGTGGACATTTGGCTGTAGTGACTGTAGTCCAGATCCATAATTTCTAGTAAAGATTAACTTAATCTTTGTTAGTTGGGGACTGTTTCATTTGTCTTATTAAAAATAAAGATGAAGTGAATATGATTAAGTCTATACACCTCATGTGTATTTGTCTATTTTCTGTTATTGTAACAAAATACCTGAAAGTGGGTACTTTTTAAGGGAAGGAGGTCTATTTAGTGTACAGTTCTGGAGGTTCAAGGGATGGCCCTGGCATCACCATAGCTTTGGTGAGGACCTCATGGAGGATAGCAACAAAATGGTGGGAGTGTCTGAGAAAGAGGACAAAGAGAGAGCTCACAGGGCAAGGCAGGAAGTCAGAGTGAGGGAAGGGCTACCCCGCACTGTGCCTCCTTAATGACCTCCCACTAGGCCCCACCATTTAAAGGTCCCACCACCTCTTAACATCATCCTGCTGGGAAACAAGCCTCCAACATGTAATCCTTCAGGGGAACACACTTTAATCATATCCAGACCATAGCATCCCGCCATTTGGAACAGCCTAAAACTATACAATAAACATAGCGTCATCTCTGCTGTGCACTGATCATGTGACTGATCTGGAGCCTGATGTCTAGCAAAGATTCCTTCTGAGACTTTGTTGAGAAGCACTAACACCTGTCATCATCCCTGTAAGTGTGACTTTCAGCAACTTTTTCTTTGTGGCTCATAGGATGACCCTTGGCATCTCCTCTACCACGTGTCAATTCACACTGGAATGAACTTCCACTCCCTTTCCTAGATACTAGGTAGGCCTGTGCAGGTCATGTGTGTCTTGGCTAGCCTCTCAAAAAGAACAAAGGTCTTGGCTTTCATTGTCTAATGGACAACAACCAACTGGTGGTGGCAACAGAAGTGCTCAAGGAGATCCTTTTGCAAGCAGGGCTTTAGTGTGTCCTCTGCAGACTGAGAATTAGCAAGTGTGCCATATTTTATTTATTCAGTCCCTTCTGCACTTCCCACCTTTTATTGGGGATGGTTTGATTTTCTAATTTGTTTGCCCTAAGAAGGAATAAAACTCCATTATGGGTTTATAGTGTGAACTATAATCGAAGTCTGATGCAAGACTCTGAAAAGCAAACTAAAAGCAATAAAACTGGAGGTATATCTCAAGAATACTTGCCTAGCGAGCATCCTCAGTATAACCAAGAAAACAAAAAACTCCATTATATATGAATTCCAGGGAAATGTCTACCCGCCATTAAGCTTTTCAGTAGGCCCCAAATCTGACCTTTCAGCACAGAATTTGCTCAGAGGTCAGAGAAGAGGACATTTCTACCAGTTGGCAAAGAGAAGCAAAGACTCATGGATACCTCGGTTTTCCATTCTTGTACCAGGTGTTGTTTTGGAAAGATGAGGAATACCTGGATTTTTGCTCTTTCTTAATTGGGAAACCACTCTGTGCTATTCCGATCCGGAAGTACTTCAGCGAACAAATTTGGAACTGCAAAAAGAACCCACACTGACATTGAACTCCAATGCCCTCTGGCTGTCACCATTCAATTTATATATGACTCTGAATTAAAAGTCTTGCTACTAATGCCTTCTGGTAATCCCAGCCCCTGTGTTCCTTAGACAAATGCTATAAATGCAATGGGGCCATGCACGAAATATCATAAGCTGTTTGGAAAAGAAATGTTAAAAAAAAATCACAAATTATTTGTAAGAGTGGTTGACAAAAGCACAACAAAACTGGCTTTTGGGCTGGTGGAGTGGCTCACGTGGTAGAGCGTCTGCCTAGCAAGCTCAAGACCTTGAGTTCAAACCCCAGTACCACCAAAATAAAGAATTACTGGCTCTCCCCTTCTCTGAAGCAGGAGCCAGTATTCCTAAATGCATGTCCAAGAATTGTGATAATAGAAATCATTGCATCATTTGTACTTCAGAGTTTGTAGAGCAAGTTTAATAATAACCTTTCCATGATTACAGTCTTTGGCCAAAATGAAAAATAAAAAATATGCTCAAATACAGGCCAAAGGAGCATTTCATCATCAAATAAAGAACCAAACACCCAAGAATGTGCAATTTTAACCTCACAAATCATAATGAATGAGAGAATGAGAAAGTACTAGTGAAAGAAAATGTGCCTTCAGGTCTGCCAAGAGTCCAGTATTACACTGATTGTTTACAACTCAAAGTGATTTGGGGAAGCCTTTTTTCATGGAAGTATGGAAGAGCATTTAAGGATTCCTTCTCAAAATTACAATGACATCAAGAGTCCACATGTGACTGTGATTTTATAAAGATTGTCATTGCTAATGGACTGGAGGTATGGCTCGAACACAAAGTCCTGAGTTCAAACCCCAGTCCTACAAAAAAAAGAGACTGTCATTGCTTATGTCCTGTCCCTCAACAAATCAATGAGGCTTCACTGTAAAAGCCACATAAGGAGCACCAAGGATGTAGTTTGGTGGTAGAGTGTATACTCAACACGTTCGAGGCCCTGGGTTTGATCCCCAGTACCACCAAAAAGGACCACATAAGGAAAACAAAGAAATAAAACAAAAATCAGTTTCCAGGATGACAGAATATAAATGAGGCAGAGCCAGGACAGACAGAATCAAAGTAATATATCACTCCTTTCTTGAATCACCTAGTACATAATAACTGCAGATTTTTTTAATTGTAATTATTCCTGGAAACCAAACTCCACTGGGCATTTAAAAACAGAAATACTTAGCCATGCATGCATGGTGGCTCATACCTGCAATCCCAGTTACTCAGGAGGCAGAGATCAGGAGGATCGAGGTCCAGAGGCCAGCTCAGGCAAAAATGTGAGACCCTATCAGAAAAGCAACTAAAGAGGGCTGGGGGCCTGGTGTAAGTGGCAGAGTTCTTGCCTTGAAGGGCAAGGCCCTGAGTTCAAGCCCCAGTACCACCAAAAATAAGTAAATACACGAATAGAAATACTTTACTAATAATTAACTACTTCACTCAAAATGTTTTGCCTAACATTTAATAGATTTGTTTAGCTCTGCAATTGAGGTAAGGGAAGAAAATGATAAGGAAAAGAGCTTTAGAAGGGTCAGGTTGAGTCTGTCTTCAAAAATAGACTCCATGTACATCCATAGACTCAAAGCTGCTAGGGATGTAGAGGATTTGAAGAAAAACCAGATATGGAGGAGATGGTGTCTTTTTCTAAAACTCAGGCACAGGGACTCCATTCCAAAAATGCATGCTCTTTGATTCTCTGAATGTTCTTCTCGTTCTAGATGCTGCAGAACTTGTCGGCCTCCGAGGGCCAGCTGGTTGTCTTTGAGTGCAGAGTCAAAGGAGCTCCGTCCCCTAAAGTGGAGTGGTACAGGGAAGGGACCCTGATAGAAGATTCTCCTGATTTTAGGATTTTACAGAAGAGTAAGTCAATGCTTTAAAATGTTTTTTTCCTGATCGTTTAATTTTATAAATAGATTATATATGTCTCTTTTTAAATAAAATTTTAGCAACTCATTAAAAGTATATCAAAACTAAAATAAAAATCACTGGTAATCATATCCCCCAAACTAACTCTGTTAATATTTTGGTGTATAGTCTCCAAGAATTTTTCCATGCATATTTTTGTTTTTAAAAATAAATCATATTCTTTTTTTGTAATTGATTTTTTTACTCAAAATTTCAGGAGCATTTTCCATGTTAATATAAAGTTTTCTCACTTTTAAAAATAGATCTATAAACCAGGAATGGTAGCTTACCCCTATAATCCCAGTACTTTGGAGGCTGGAGGCAGGAGGATGACAAGTTCCAGACCAACCTGGGCTCTATTTAAAAAAAAAAAAAAAAAAGTAGTATCAATTTCATGTTTATTTAGCCTCCTACTTTGGAACATTTAAATTGTTCCCTGATTTTTGCTCTTATAAAGTATGTTTCAATATGGGTCAACAGCAAATTTTGTGACTATCCAGTTATCACCTTAAAATAAGTTTCTAGTGCTGTTTCTTCTATTAATCCGCATTTTTAGGCTTTCAATACATGTTGCCAAAATGTCATCTCAGAAGACTGAGCTACACTTAGGATGACCACACTGAGACACATGCCAAATACCTTCCCTCTCACACCTTTGTCAACAGTGGGTATTAGCCAGTTTTTTAAATCTTCACGAATTTTATAGGCCAAAAATGGGTACAGTTATTTTAATCCATACTTCATTAATTAAATATGGGATGGCACTTTTTTATATTTCTTTATTTCATCTTGGGTTTTCATTCTTTTTTATTATAACAGTGATTTATATATTAAAGTGATTAATTCTTCTTATCACACACCACAGTTAAACAGTGCTTTCTCCTTGACCCATTTCAGTCATAAAATAAGTTACAACTTATTTGCTTCATTTAACCTATGTTTTTATTTTTTTTTTTTATTTATTTTTTTTTTGGAGAACATCATTCTTTTTTTTTTTTTCCATTTTTCTTTTATTATTCATATGTGCATACAAGGCTTGGTTCATTTCTCCCCCGCTCCCCGCCCCCGCCCTCCGACTCGCCCCCTCTCACCCCCCAACCTGCCACCTCCTACCACCACTCTGACCCCTCCCTTTCCTCCCCTCAATACCCAGCAGAAACTATTTTGCCTTATTTCTAATTTTGTTGTAGCGAGAGTATAAGCAATAATAGGAAGGAACAAGGGGTTTTGCTGGTTGAGATAAGGATAGCTATACAGGGTTGACTCACATGATTTCCTGTGCGTGGTGTTACCTTCTAGGTTAATTCTTTTTGATCTAACTTTTCTCTAGTACCTGTTCCCCTTTTCCTATTGGCCTCAGTTGCTTTAAGGTATCTGCTTTAGTTTCTCTGCGTTAAGGGCAACAAATGCTAGCTAGTTTTTTAGGTGTCTTACCTATCCTCAACCCCTCCCTTGTGTGCTCTCACTTTTATCATCTGCTCATAGTCCAATCCCCTTGTTGTGTTTGCCCTTGATCTAATGTCCACATATGAGGGAGAACATACGATTTTTGGTTTTTTGAGCCAGGCTAACCTCACTCAGAATGATGTTCTCCAATTCCATCCATTTACCAGCGAATGATAACATTTCGTTCTTCTTCATGGCTGCATAAAATTCCATTGTGTATAGATACCACATTTTCTTAATCCATTTGTCAGTGCTGGGCATCTTGGCTGTTTTCCATAACTTGGCTATTGTGAATAGTGCCGCAATAAACATGGATGTGCAGGTGCCTCTGGAGTAACAGTCTTTTGGGTATATCCCCAAGAGTTAACCTATGTTTTTATTAACCAGGTAGAATAATCTATTATTGTTCTAAAAACTTGGGGAGGAAATTGGCTAAAATGTTGGCCCCAAGTCTAAGGTCAATTGTTTTTGTCTCTTACACTTTTCAGTTTTTCTATAATGAACATGTATTAATTACTTTTAATTACTTCCTTTATTATTTCTTTTTATTTTATTTATTTTTTTACAGAGAAAAGAACACAAAATTCAATACGTGCCTGAAGAGTAGGAAAATTCTTGTCTTTTTTGGCTAATAAAAATTTTATAATTTATCATGTACAACATGATGTTTTAAAATATGCATACATTGTGGATGGCTAAATTGAGCTAATTAACATATGCATTACATTGCAGATTTGTCACTTTTTCTGGTGAGTTATTTGCTTTGGGTTTGAGCTCAAGGCCTACACCTTGAGCCACTCCACTAGCCCTTTTTTATATTGGGCTTTTTCAAGATAGGGTCTTGTGAACTATTTGCCCAGTCTGGCTTTGAACCACAATCCTCCTGATCTCTGCTTCCTTAGTAGCTAGGATTGCAGGGGTGAGCTATCAGTGTCCTGCAGTTATTTGCTTTCTTGTTCATTTGTTTCTTCCTGTCACAACATAGCAATACCTGGACTAGTGAGATACATGATTCAGAACTACAGCCAGGCTGTAGAAGCAGTAGCAGCAACAATAATATATTCTCAATACCATTTAAACTGAGAGGGAGAAAAAAGCCCTTAATCATGCTATCTGTGTAGATTACTTCCTAAGTGGTCTGCAATTTAATAAACATTCATTGAACAAGTGAATTCAGTAATGTGAGCACTTTGAGGAATGCCAAAGAACTTTAAGATAAGGAATCTGTTCTCAAAGAATCTATTCTATGGAAGGCAGAGATTGGGAGGATCACAGTTCAAGGCTAACCCAAGCAAAAAGTTAGCAAGACCCAATCTCAACAAACGACCCAGACATGGTAGAATGCACCTGTGATCTCAGGCACGTGGAAAGCATAGGTAGGAGGATCACAGTTCAGGCTGGCTGGGCAAAAGCACAATACCCTACCTGAAAAATAGCTAAGGCAAAAGGGGCTGGGGAGTGGCTCAAGTGGTAGAGCGCCTCTCCAAAAGTGCAAGGCCCTGAGTTCAAACTCCAGTGCCACCAAGAAATACTCCTCAGTCTTCACGAGCTTTCTTTCAGGTAAGGCTGATGGGTACCAATAAAAGCAAGTCATTTCTGAGTCCAGCTATCTCAGGAACTTTTCCTTGCCTAAGTTTATGTACCTAAGGGGTCCCAGGTGTGCCCCAAGATGCAGAAGCATCATTTAATTGCTCTTTTTCTGCCCTATTGTGTCCCTATTGAGGTCATTGGTGTTTAGGTCATTTTATTTAACCATGACAGATTAACCTTCTCACATCACTCCTGAGTATGCAAATTATCTATGAAAAAGACTGAAATTCTGTAGGAAGCTTCAGCAAAAATGTAACCTCAGTAAATACTCAGAATCTTTTTTTTTCTTTTAGAACCTCGATCCATGGCAGAACCAGGTAAAGATCATCTCAACTTTAATTATTAATATGTGATAGGTGATTCCATATATCTAAGAAAACATGTTGAAATTACAATGGTGTCAAGAAAAAGTGAAAAGAAAACTTTAGAAAAACAAGACTCAAATGAAGTCCAGTTATTATTGAAGGGAAAGACAGGAGCATCTGCAAATTTGACATACATATTCAATACCTGATATAAATGCAGTTAGTTCTTGATTACTGAGGTGTGTCTCATGGGGAGGCCTCTGTCCATGGCCTCCCGCTCATGCCTTCCCCAAACTGGGCAGCGAGGGCTATTTCTACGATGCCAGATCAATTCTAATTCCACACCATATGTGTCTCAAATTTTATGCATCAGATTTTGAAATTCACAGAGATTTAATAAAATGTCTGTATTGTTACTACATTTATTATTAGATTTGTTGTTTTGAGAATTCTGAGAGAGATACAAGTGAGAGCAGGTGAAACTCTTACCACTAGAAAATACAAGTCACTCAAAAATATCGTATGAACATCAGAATGCCCTCTCTGTAACCACTCTGAAAATCAGATTGTATTTGTAACCCTGGTGAGAAAGACGGTTTAGAATTTCATTATTATAACTCTGTCTTCTGATAACCAAGTGGAAAGGCATTCCAGAAGTAGACATTGAGCATTCATGTTGCATAGCCCTACACTAGACCCTTGGGGAAATAGCAAAGATAGAAGTGGTCTTATTCTTAGCACAAGGTCCTAAGTTCAAACCCCAGTACCATAAAAAAAAAAGTGGTCTTATTCCTGTACAGTTTTTCTACAGGCGGTCTAGTTAGTTAAACTCAGTTATCATGAAGCGCTGATATATCAAATTTTTGGTACTGGGGTTTGAACTCAGGGCCTCATGCTTGCTAGGCAGGCTCTCTTACCACTTGAGTCACTCCACCAACCCATTTTTGTGTTGGGTTTTTTTGAGATAGGATCTCACAATTTGCTCATTTGTTCAGGATAGCTTTGAACCATGACCCTCCTGATTTCTGCCTCCTAAGTAGTTAGGGTTATAGGTGTGAGGCACTGATGCCTAGCCAGAACTCTGTTTCAATAATTTTGTTTTTAATATCAGGGATACTGGGTGATAACTGGAGGTTTATGCTACAGTCTTATACCTCCTCTTCATTAGTTGTCAAGGAATTCTCAATGAAATAATTTTAGGATATATCACATTGTTCTATCTGGAAATCACCTCTGTAGTTATTCACAGAGGTTTTATATTGTAGATCACAGTAATCCATAAGAATCACCACAGTATTACAAAAGTAGAAATTCATTTTACTCTTTCACCCAGAATTTTGATTTATTGTATCAGCTAATTACTATTACTTAAGCAAAACATTTATTGCCGATTGATATTTGTCTGATTTTAAATTGTGGCCTTAGCCAGCCGCAGGTGGTTCACTCCTGTAATCTTAGTTACTTGAGAAGCTGAGATCAGAAGGATGGAGGTTCAAGGCCAGCCCATGCAAATAGTTGGTGAGAACAGAGCAAAATGGACTGGAGGTGTGGCTCAAATGCCTGCTTTGCAAGTGCCTGCTTTGTAAACACAAAGCCCTGAGTCCAAACCCCAGTTCCACCAAAAAAAAGGAAAAGAAAATGTTTAAGTAGTCTTTATTTCACACATACTTCCTTTTCCCTTGACCTCTCATTTGTTTTGTGATTTTTAAATTTTTATTGTAAGTTCCACTTTTGCCATTTGGATTGATGAATAAAAGCAGAAGACAATCTGAATATCCATGCACATAACATATGATTATAAAATCCCCCTGTCCCTCACTCTGAAGGCGACATTGGTTCTACATCCTTTGAGTCTGTTAGCCTGCTAACTGCCCAAGGAATTAATAAAAGTCAGCTTCTCGTACGGACTTGCGCAGACAGCAGTACAGTACATCACTGACTGCGCGACTAAGTCAGTAACCCTGTGTTCTGCTGGCCTGTAGAGGAGATCTGCACCTTGGTCATCGCGGAGGTATTTGCGGAAGATTCTGGGTGCTTCACGTGCACTGCCAGCAACAAATACGGCACGGTGTCGAGCATCGCGCAGCTGGACGTGAGAGGTAAGGACGCCTTCCACACCTCAAGGTTTACACGGTTTGAATTCTAGTTGTAAGCATGCAGAGTTTATGTTACCCTTCCCTACTATTTCACATCTGAATAAAAAAAAGTTTTTTATTATTAAGACATATGCTATTAGGATACCATGCAAATACAGAGCATGCTGCTACAACGTCCAATTTTTGATTCCTTATTTCACTTAAAGCCACCAGCACCACCTTAGTTATCCTGCTGTCTTTATAATTCCTACAAAAACACCTCCTGGAGATACTGGGGCTTGAACTCAAGGCCTTATGCTTGCTAGGCAAGCATCGACCCCTTGAGCCATATGCCCAACCCTTTTGTTTTAGTTATTTTTCAGATAGGGTCTTGCACTTTTGCCAGGACTGACCTTGGAACCTGATTCTCCTACCTCTGCCTCCCGTGTAGCTGGGATTCCTGGTTGTGCACTGCCACACCCAGGTTCCTGGCCTAAACTTCTAAAATCTTTCCAAAAAACAGCTTAGATATGTGTGTGTGTGTGTATGTGTGTGTGTGTGTGTGTGTGAGAGAGAGAGAGAGAGAGAGCGAGTGAGAGAGTGCTGGAATCCCACTTAGGGCCTCCAGCACACTAAACATGTGCTGTACTGTTAAAATATATCCACAGCTCAAGACTTAGATGTTTAATTTAGTATTTTCTGCATCACCACATTGTTCAATGCCCCAGGGGAGGTTTTGACACGCATTTCCCCATCTGTGCACTCGCCTGGTATATGTTGCCATTGAATACATGTCGCAACTTGAACTTACGAGCTCACGTCAGTCTTGTTGGATAAGGCTAACAGCTTGGGTCCCATGACTGTCCTTTCAGGAAATGAAGACCTCAGCAATAACAGGGCTCTTCACTCGGCCAGCTCCACCACCAACCTGGCTGCAACTGAACGACAGCCGTCCCCCCCCAACCCAGAGCCTCCTTCTATGGAACAAACCCCCAAACCCAAACTTGAAGGGGTACTGGTGAACCATAATGAGCCCCGGTCCAGCTCCAGGATTGGGCTCCGTGTGCACTTCAACCTGCCTGAAGATGACAAAGAAAGCAAAGCCTCCTCTGAAGGTGGAAGGGCAACTGCCAACCAGGCCAGGCCCAATTCTTTCCCTGAGAGGCTCAATGGACAGGGATCCAAAATTCTGGAGCCTTCCTCACCCATCAAAGAGCCCCCTCCAGTTCTGGCCAAACCCAAACTGTAAGTAAAAAGTTAGAATGAATAACCCATCGTGGCTGTGAGTCACTCTTGAGTCTGACCTTAACTATGAAGGAGTTGGAAAAGGGAATTACCAAATGAGAAAATACACATTAAATGCGATGCAGGAAGTACATCCTTATTCCACTGTGAGTGGACTCTCACTATCATAGTGATTATTAATATTCTGCCTCTAAGCAGTGCGGCACCTAAACTAATTCAGACAGACAATGGCCAAGTGTTAGAGAATCATTCCTATGGTCTGCTTATCACACCCGTTCTTGTGTTTAATCTTTATTGTCTGTAATTTTATCCTTGTATTTTCCTTTTCTGCTTCTACATAAGCTTTTGTAGTTATTATGTAAAGCTATTTAATATTTTTTAGATAGTTCTTTGCTATTGCTGGATAAGCTGTAATGACCTAGTAGGTTTTATATACGTGTAAGAAAAGTACTCATGGTTTTCTGAGTCAACCCCTCAATATCGCTCTGTTGTTTAGTACGATTAAGTTGAGCTTCACATTACAAAAAACTAAAGTAACAGGGGTTAGACACATGAGAGTTTATTCTTTCACATAAAGAAATTAGACAGAGGACTAATGGAGTAGTTCAAGTGGTAGAGTGACTCCTAGCAAGCGTGAGGCCCGGAGTTGAAATTCAATTACCACCCAGAAAAAAGAAAAAATACTTAAAGAACATACACAGAGCATCTAAGGCTGTTCTGGTCTATAGTGATTGAGAACCCAGGCAACTTCTGTCTTTCTGCTCTGCCATCCCCAACTCTGCCTTCTTCTTTGGGACCCCCACATGGTCCAAGATAGCTGATGGTGGTCTAGTCATCACATCTGCATTTCAAGCAACAGGAAGGACAAATGTGCAGAAGTCACACTCATTTTTTTTGATGTCAGAAGCCCTAAAAGGAACCTTCTTAGAGGTGTCTCCCAAAATCTCCTGCTTACATCTCATTGGCCAGAATTTAACTACATGGAATACTAATTGCAAAGGAAACTGGGAAATACAATCTTTAGTTGCACATATTGACATCATGATGAATAAACACAAAAAGCAGAATTAAGTGGCCAGCAATGTCTGCCATATGAGACTTCCAGTTAAAATTAGTTATGCTGTGTAGTGATATCTTCTACAAATCCAATCCTTATCACTTTATTTTTCTTTAGTCCATTTGCCTTTAAGTCTTCTCTTAATTGTATGTACATAGGTTTATATTCATATAGATATGAATATACATGTGTTTGCACATACACCCTTTGTAAATTCACATGTTTACAACTTTTCTTACTCATTTTAAATTGACACATAATAATTGTACATATTTATGGAGTATGGTGTGACATTTCAATGCATATATACGATATATAATGATTAGATCAGGATAACTAGCATATTCATCATCTCCACAATTGAGCATTTCTTTGTGTTAGGACTCCACTTATTAGTTTTAATGTCATTGGTTTTAACCTCACAGGGTTTGCATTAAAATACAGATTCCATCTTCCCTAGCACACAGTCTTTTGCTCATTCCTTGGATTTGCCATTCATATGGAAAATAGAGATAACAGAAGTCCAAAATTGCTACAGAAGGGGAGGCTGTCATTTTTAAATACTGTATCATCAAAGCCCAGATAATACTGACTTCGGAATTTTCAGCTTGAATATCAAACTGTCTAAAACAGCGATTCTTCATCCTGGTCACACTCTAGAAGAAAAGCTGCAGCTTAAAAAAATATTAATGCCCTCCTTCTCAATTGAGTCAGAATCTCTGCACAGATTATGTTAACATGCAGCCAGTTTGGAAACTACTGGTCTGGAATAGAGAAATAACTGAATTGCCACCCCTCCACAACCCCCACCTTTCCACAGCCCCCACCCCCTACACACACACACACACACGCACACCCAAGAAATGACAACAATTAACCTTTTACATTGAGTAAAATATCAGACAAACATTCAGAATAGACTGGGAAAGCCTATGCTTTGGGGACAAGTGATCTTCAGAGCATTGTTTCTATGTCCTGGATGCATGGAAAAGTCACCTAGGGCCCACCTGGTCACTCTCAGGCCCTGCCCAGACCCCCTGAATCAGAAGCTTCTGGGGTGGCCCAGAAGTCTGTGGTTTAGCCAGCACTATAGAAAATCCTGAGGCTGGCTGAAGTTTATGAGCAACTGACCTACGTTTAAAAGGATAACCATAACTATGCCTAGATCCCTTTCCAGGCCAATTAGCTCTCTGGGCAGTGGCGCCTAAACCAGGGAGGTCTGCCTGTTTTACAGTTTCCAGGTGACAGGAATGTGAAACCGGCACAGTGAGCACCACTAAAACCACTGCACAGCTATCCCAGTTCATCATCCCAGTCAGTGATTTGCTGGGTAGTAGTTTCACAACTGACAAGGTCAAGAGAACCCTATCTTGTAGCATATGCTGAGTTCTTCCCACCATGGCAGATCTCACTCAGGCAATGAAGAGAAGGTGGCTGCAATTCTCAGAGAAAGCAGTTGTGCACAAGTTGTCCTTCCAAGCACACACTGCCCAAAATGGTTGTCAAAATTGCTTTCAGAAGTACTGGATACCCAAGGTTGTTGTGTTTTGACTGTCTGATGTTTTATCTCAAAAACTCAAAATCTCTCATTAATTCCTTTGTTGTCCTTGTCATTCTGAACCTCTGTCTGATATTCATTCTTACAGATCTTGAAATTGGACTTTTGTAGTTCAGAAACTAAAAAATGTAATAGCCACCATTTTTAATCTCTTAGATTTCAGGTGGCCTTTCAGTTCTCACAACACTAAGAGACATTATTACCTTTTTACTTATGAGGGAATCAGGGTCAAAACTTACAAGGGGAAAAGTGTCAAAATCACCCAAGGCCACACAGCAGATCAAGAGTGACTGAGCCAGGATTAGGCCATAAGTCTGTCTCTCTGCAGAGTCCTTGTGCTTAAACTAAGATGTAACAAAAGGGAAAATATTTTAAGGTAAGAGTAGAGAGTTGATAAATGTATGGCAAGAAAACCTGAATACAAACCTGATTTCAGTAATCCTCACAGCAACAAGAAGTGAGCAAGTGAGTTTATAAGCAATTCATGACAAGCTGTTAGTTTTTTTGTTTTTGTTTTTTAGTGGTGGTGACAGAGGGAGTCAGGGCCTTGCTATATAGGCCAGGCTGACCTGAAACTCTATATACCCCAGTCTGACCTCAAATTTTTGATACTCCTGGCACAGCCTCCTGAGTGCTGGGATTGCAGGAGTGAGCCACCCTGCTTGTCTCAGGCTGTTAACTTTGAATGATAGGGATTACTCAAGCTTTTAGAATTGGTATGCTTTGTACTTAGCTCTCCCTTCTTTCATTGCACTTGGTACCTTCATTAGGAAATGGTAACTGGGTCTATATGCTGTTCGTAAATAACCACTGGCTAGTATATATTAGCATTTTATATGTGTCCCATTAGATTTTAGCCTTTAATGATGCATACAATCTAGAAAAGTATATACACAGAAGATTCAATTTTTTAAAAAGTCCACCGAGTAATGGAATCAACACCTTGCCCTGATATAACCAAAAAGCTACTCCAAACAGCTCTTTTAAATCCCTTCTGAAACAAAATAAGATTTTTTTAATGGGGGAAAACAAACTGTTCAAACAAAAAGACATTCTCACATGAATTATTCCAGGGGTGCTGGTAGTGATGCTGATGTTAGCACAGGAATTAATACAGTGCTTTCTCTTAGAGAATTCGGCCCTTGCAGTAACTCGCATCTTTGTGCGGCTCAGTACCTTCTGTTCTCAAGCTGGGGTACCGTGTCCTGGTCATCAGAACTTCAGGCACTGCCCACAGGAGGGACCTTGTCTCTGGCTCTTTTTTCTAACTTAAAAGCATTCTGTGTTGCACAAGTCCAGGGTCACAGCACAGAGAATACAATGTGCTTGATGCCATAGGAAGAAGCAAAGATAAACAACTCGCAGCAATTGGCTGGCTGACTGCTCGCTGCTCTGGTTGTCTGTCTGTAATTGTTTCAGGAAAGCTGCTCCCCTGGTCTCAGTGCCAATTCACGAATAAGGAGAGCAGGGTTTGGGGAAAGAAGATAAGGTTTATTATTTGTCAGATGAAGAGGAGGATGGGGAATCAACCACTCAAAACTCTCTTGTCCCCCTTCTAGGAGAAGGGGTCTGCTTTTTAAAGGGGAGTTCAGGGACTTTGAGTATGTGGCAAAAACTCATGTCCCACAACTGGTGCTGGCCTTGGTTCTCCTACTTTACTGGTGCTACATTTCTGTAGCTATATGTCTTGGTTGACAGTTTTATTCCTCACTGGTCAGAGAGAGATAAAAAGGGAGAAAATTGCCTGATTTAATTGAAGAGTAAAGGGAGTTAATCTTGAGCTCTCCAGCATGTAGAGAGAAAGAGGGAAAAATGTCAGTTTAATAATCAAGCTGGCCACACTCCCTTCTGGAGTCCCCGTCCCATTTTCCCCACTGTCAGTTTATTCCTTCCATTCTTATGGAAAAGAGGGGTCACAATCATCTAACTGCTTCCTGCCTTTAGTTAATTCAAGGCCCAAGTAAGGAGTCAGTGTCCTCAGCAAAAGCAGCTTTTATACAGGTTAGCCAGCATCACCAGACATGATCTGTGCATTTTCTGTCATTGCAGTGACTCTTCCCAGTTACAGCAGCTTCACAACCAAGTGTTGCTGGAACAGCAGCAGCTGCAGAACCTGTCCCCTTTGTCACCTAAGGAGCTTCCCTTCACCGTGAGTGTTCTGAACTCCCCAGCCAGCCCGGCTGTGACCGTCTCCAGCAAGCAGGTGAAGGGCCCTGCATCACAGACGCTCAGCCTGGCCCGACCGAAGCAGTTCTTCCCCTCCACCAGTGCCACCATGGCCACCGTGTCCCCATCCGGCTCTCCCGTGTTCACCTTGAGCAGCACTCCTCAGACAATTCAGAGGACAGTGAGCAAAGAAAGCCTGTTACTTTCCCACCCCCCTGTGCAAACCAAATCTCCAGGTGGGGTTTCCATCCAAAATGAGACACTCCCTCCAGGCCTGGCAGAGCCAGCACCGCCACCACTCTCGTTTTCCATCCCCAGCGCAAACCAGTTTCAGCCTCACTGTGTATCCCCGACTCCTGTCTCTCCCACCAGCCGGATTCAGAACCCAGTGGCTTTCCTCAGTTCCGTCCTGCCTTCTCTCCCTGTCGTCCCACCAACCAATGCCATGGGACTGCCCAAGAGTGCACCATCTGTGTAAGTGTCACTGAGGTGTCTTGATGGAAGAGATGCCAGTTAAGAGGGGACATATGCAGAGAACAGCTTAGTCTGGGAGAGGACTCCTGTGCAATGGATTCTTAGATAATCCTATCTCTTAGAACCAAAATGGTTATAGAACACCTCAGAACAAAGGGCACGATTGCTTTGAATATTTTCTTTGATGGTACCGGGGTTTTAACTCAGGGATCATGCTCACTAGGCAGGTGCTCTACCACTTGAGTCACAGCCCTTTCTGTGTTGGGTATTTTCAAGATAGGGTCTCTCGAACTATTTACCTGGGCTGGCCTTAAATTGCAATCCTCCTGATCTCTGCCTCTTGGGTAACTAGGATTCCAGGTGTGAGCCACCTGTGCCCAGCCCAATAATTTTTAATAACAAAATATAAAAAAGACCTCTACTAACACAGTGCTTAATTCCATAAGTGCCTACTGACTGCTGTTGTCTGGTTGTCACTTCAGCCACTCTGTCTAACTAGTGCTTTACATGGATCTGTTGGGTGAATTTATTTTACAGACCATCCCAAGGACTAATGAAGAAAAACACAAAGTCTCCTCAACCAGTGAGTGATGATTATATTCGTGAAACTAAGAATGCAGTGATTCTAGACTTGGGGAAGAAAATGAGTTTCAGCGATGTCAGATCAAACCAGCAGGTAAGATTGCTGGACTCAGATGGTTTGATGAAGCTTGATTGTAAGGCATAGAATTTTGTTTCATTCAGTCCTTGGATGCTGAGGTCAGTCATCTGACCTCATGACACATAGATGGCAGGGCAGAGGCCAAGGCCCATGCAGGAAACTCGTCCACAAGGATCTATCTATAGTTGTCAGTCACCCCAGCAGTTAGCTCAGTGGATGTGTTTATATGTGTTTACCTGGAATAGAATGTGCAGCAGTCTCCCCTTGTCTGCAGGGAGTATTCTAAGACTTCCACTGTAGGCTTGAAACCACAGATAATACTCAACTCTATAGATAGTATGTTTTTTCTATACATACACACCTATGATAAAGTTTAATTTTAAGAGTCAGGTGTGGGGCTGGTGGAGTGGCTCAAGTGGTAAGAGCGCCTGCCTAGCAAGCATAAGGCCCTGAGTTCAAAGCCCAGTACCACCAAAAAAAAAAAAAAGAAAAGAAAAAAAGTCAGGTGTCAGGTGTGGTGGTTCATATCTACAATGCCAGCACTTAGGAGGCTGAGGCAGGAGGAGCTTGAGTTCAAGGCCAGCCTGGGCTATATAGTGAGATCCTGTTTCAAAAAAAAAAGTTTAATTTTCTTTTTTGGTGGTACAGTGGTTTTAAACTCAGGCCCTCACACTAGCTAGGCAGGCACTCTACCACTTGAGGCATTCCAAAGCACTTTTTTGTGTTGAGTATTTTTGAGTTAGGGTGTCAAAATCTATTTGTCAGGGCTGGCTTTGAACCTTGATCCCTATGATCTCTGCCTCCTGAGCAGCTAGGATCACAGGTGTGAGCCACCAGTACCCAGCTAAAAAAGTTTAATTTTAAAGTAGGTACAGTAAGAGATTACAGAAATAACTAATAATAAAATTGTTATAACAATATACTGAAACTTTATTTCTAAAATTTTCTGTTTAATATTTTTGGATCCCAGTTGACTTCAGGTAACTGAAACTGGGAAAGCAAAATTATGGATTAGAGAGATGAATCTGCTCTCCATTTCAACAGTCCTCAAGTCAGTTTAGGCAAACACTGTTAGATCTTTGAGAGATTTCAATATCTAAGCCTTTTGATAATCGAGACTTTAAGGAACTCTGGGGTTCTAAGTCATTCTTCAACTTCAGATACCTGGAAGTCTGACTACCAGTTCCCCCTCCTCCTCCTCATCCTTCTTTTTTGTGAGACAGGATCTTGCTATTTGCCCAGATTTGGGCTCGTGATCCTCCTACCTCCTCTTCCCAAGTGCCTGTGCATGTACCACCACACCTGGCTCCTCTCAGGTCTTTATATTAGGTTGAACCATGTGAAATGACCATCAGACAACATCCTATGCTCCACCGGTACAGCTACTTGCTTCCTAGGGAAGAAAACCTCATGTGGGATCACAGAAACAAAAGAAAGACACACTGTTTGCTTATTTGAGCCATTTATTTGCACTTTTGATAAATAAGTAGTTATTTTTAGTGCAGATTTACATTTTAATAATCTAATTCTTAGTTTATTTCCCAAGATGGGAATTAATAAAATCTAGTTTGAAATATAACAAAAATTCAGTCAAAGCAATATGCAAAATATTGCAGAATTTCTTCCGTAAAGGACCCTAAAAAAAAAACTCCAGATTTCCCTGACCACATGTTGTTTTCTTAGTGTTTCTCTTACTTTCAATGGAGCCATAGATGTACAATATTTTACTCTGTTTGTTATACATTGGTAACTTTACTGAGTATACTCTTTTGAAAATATGCTAGTCTTTTAAAATTTGCTTTCAAATTATTAGATCGAAGCAGAATATATAAACTTCTCAGTTCTCAGTATATCTGAGTACACTTCTCATATATTATATCCCCAAATTACATGTATCTCTGGGAGGGAAATGCCAGGGCAACTGTCTTTCCCTTCTGTCTCCTAAATAAGAAACAGAGGCACAGTGGTCAGTTAGTGGTAGAAGTAGGCCCAGATCTCTGATCTCCAGGATACTTGTGCATTTTTTCTGGAAACTCTATAGCCTTTTTCAGTTTTATGACAACAGTTTCATTCAAGCTCCATAAATGTTACTCTGTCAACCACAGATTTGTTTTCCTATGATACTGTCATCAGATTTATGGTTGTTAATCCTTCTAAGTGTCATTGAAATAAGAGCCTTATTCAGCCTTGGTTGTTAATAACACAGAGAGGGACAATTAGATCCCTGTAAAATGATACCAGCTTTGCACAGAAGCTGTTTGATTTCACTTTTACAGTTTTTCTGTAAGTAAATTCAGACTACTCCATTGCCCAAACTCACAGGAAAGTTGGACTTTTCTCTTCATTACCTGAGATGTAAGTACATACAAACACGAATTTCTGTGAGTTGAATTCTGTAAACCCAGAACTCTCTCTCTCTCAAACCTCCATCATGAGGGCTGGCAAGTATGAGGTCCTGAGTTCAAATTCCAGTACCACCAAAAAAAAAAATCCACAAGCCTCCATCATGAGTTAACTTTGGGGCCACTCTGAGGAACTGGTGTAGTCTCCGAAAGCATCTCAGCCCTCTGTATCTGATTGGCTATGATGGGCATCAGTCTTTGGAGAATTATTACAGTTCAGACTATAGAACTGGTCTTAGACTTCATGCCATGCCATGCATGATAAAAGCCAAGCTGCATAAATGCAATTTAGGAAACTAAGGAGCTACCTGAGATAGAATGCTTACATTACGTGGCACATGTTAATAGGAAGTTTTAAGAAATGAAATGAGCTAGTTGGGAAAAGGAGATCCAGAGGATCATGGTTTGAGGTCAGTCAGGCAAAAATTAGCAAGACACCATCTCAATCAGTAAGTTGAGCTTGGTGGCACTTACCTGTCATCCCAGCTACATGGGAAGCATAAATAAGATGCCAAACCCAGGCATAAGCTCGAGACCCTACCTGAAAAATAACTAAAGAAAAAAATGGTGGTGAACTAGCTCAAGTGGTAGAGCACCTGCTTAGGTCCTGGGTTCAAATCTTAGCACTTCCAAAAAAAAGTATCACGAAATGAAACGATAAGCAAATTATGATATTGTTTTGTTCATTGTTACCTTGAGAAATGATAACAAAAATGTCATGAAAAACTGTCTAAAATGTAGTATGGCCTGTTGGTGAGGTTAAAGAAGTAAGCTTAGAAAAGTATAAGAATGGACAGTTGGAGAACAATCCTAAAGAAACACTTGTATGTGGTAGTTGTTTATACCTGCAATTTGGGGACACTGGAATCAAAATAATCTGTTATTTCTTCCCCAGAATTCAAATGTATAAATTATATTTTAGAAAAGTGGGTCTTCTTTGATATATCCACCACTTTTATTTCTCTGTTATAATAGGCCAGGATTTGCTCTCTCACTCATTTTATCTAATACTTCCACTAGCCATTACATTTGCTGTTGGTTCTTAGAACTTTGTGAAATACAAAAGTGTCATCCTTCAGATGTTTACACAAAATTTTTTTGCTTTCTAAACAAAAGACAATGAAGTATCTTTAGGTTAGGAATGAAAAAAGAGTAAGGTACCCTGATTTCTAGATTTTAGGCTGTGTCATTTCTCATTTTGGGTGCCATTCACACCAATGGTTCTTGATTGGATGCCAATAAAATCCAAATGGTTTAGATTAATGTGGTGAATCTAAGAGGTCAAAGAAACGAAGGATCACAAAATATCACGGCGCTTCTATGACCAATGCACTCATGACTGAGCCTGATACTCTGCCCTCACTAAGTGTTTGTTGACTGCATGTTGACTGGGAATTTCTAAATCTTCACACCCTCCCCCTCCATTTCACATCATATCCCAATTTTCCTCCTTGACTTTCACCTCTTTTTTTCTCTCTTCTTTTTTCTGTTATTCCTTCTATGTACAACCAATCCTCTCCTTCTCGCTTATCTTACTCTCAGCTCCTTTTGTTTTGGGTGTTTGTTAATGCTTTGTGCTACGGTTGTGTGTCCTATAGTCTTCATTTCCTCATGGCTAACGCTCGTGTGTGTGTGACTCAGTGGAGGAGGACCTACAAGCACCTGACCTCGTTGCTTCCTCTTTTTGTTCTTCGCTGCTCTGGTCTATTCCTTCTTCCTTGTCTTCGTCTCTTAGTCCTTACTGCATTCAGCTTTCTGTCTACATGAGTTTCTTTATAGCGCTCTCTCGCTTCGCTGACGCTGTGGCATTTGCTCACAACTCCTCTTTCTCAGATCAAGTAATTTTACTCCATTTCGGTGTCTTCGCTCTTGTCTCCCGTTGAAGGTCTGTGATAGTCAGCTAGCCGCTCATGCACTAGTGGTGTGTCTTCCCACCAGCAGGACCGCAATCTCACCTGGTCGCCGGGCCACCGCAAAGTGGATAGCACATCAGGTTATCATGCGTTTGGCGTAAATCGCTGGAGGATGCTGGAATGACTGTAGTGCTCAGGCGATGCCGCTCTGTTGAGCCATCTCGTCTTCCGCTTCGATGGTGCGCTAATTAACTAGAGGACGACAGGATTGGGAAAGTGATGTCTAATGCCAAGCCTCAGTCACACTTACGACGTTCTGCCGTGCCTGCTCCGCTGGATCGTTCTTAGATATATATGTATTCACTAACACACAACGATACAGTAGGGTGGTCATATTCAGTTGCGCTGTGAGCTTGTCAAAGATGTCTTCTAGAGGCAATCCCCTATTTTCTTAAGGCATTTCTTGGCCGAATTACGCTCTAAACCTGCTCAAGATCAAAGACTCACACTCTGTGGTGTCTCTTGCACAATCTGAATGACCATTACACAAACATTTGTTCAGCATTGAACATCCAAATTTACAATGTGTGTGCTCTTTGATGACAGATATGACGGGGACGAGGGTTCAGAGGTGCGTATGTATTTCTTTTCTGTAATTAGAGAACATACATCTCGTGCAGATTTCATGTATTATTGTCTCTCTCTCAGTAAAGTTCATCGACACTCTAATTTCTCGGTTTAAATCTCGTTTCATGCGTTCCATAACAACTTTTACGAAAAGTGATGGTGATTCTTTTAGTATGCTATCGATCAAGAATGTGGGTGGTTGGCTCCTGGGGTACTTTTGAGTACCACCCAGTCTTATCCTGGTTTCAAGATGTCATAACTGTGTTGCCTAATTCTGATTATCCATACCCAATTCAGATGATTCTACGTGTCAAACATAATGAGGAACTTTTTTGTATTTTTATTTTGTGATTGTCACTGAGAAGTGTCGAAGCCATTCTGTGGGCCTCTTATTACTCAGTTTGTAATGCTGAGCTCACCTCTTTTGCAGATTCTGAGGCGTCCTTCATATCTTATATTGGACCTCCTTTAGCTTATTATTTTTAAGATAGGGCAATCCAACTGTTGATGACATAGTGAAATGGCCAGCCTGGAGTGTGATCCTCCTTTTTATGCCTCCCTCATAGCTGGGGTGACAGATATACACCACCACACCCAGCTTCTTTATTAGTCAAGATGGGGTCATGCGAACCTTTTGCCCTGGCTGGCCTTGAACCGCAATCCTCCGAGTCTCCACTTCCCAAGTAGCTAGGATTATAGATGTGAGCTATCACACCCGGCCATGTAATGTGATTAATACCTTGAGAACATGAATCCTAATTCAATTATCCGCTAATGATAACGGCAGGCACATATCAGCCATGTCCTTCAAAATTCCATTTCCGGAGCATTCACAGACTCTATTTATGCCCACTTAAATTTTATAAATTAACTAGGGTCACAAGTTTAAGCACAGGTCTCACCCTTATCCCAAGCTCATTGTTCCAGAGTTCTCAAAGATGGATTGATGTTGGAACAATGATGGCCTCTGTGTCACTCATGTGCTCACACATTCTTCAGTGCCCACTGAGCACCTGCCATGGGTGCTTGTCGGTGCAGTTGACAGAGTGGCAAGCAAGACAGTGAAGACCCCAGCTCTTGTGGAACTAACATTCTGACCCTAGAGAGTCAGCCATTCAGTCAATAAACAAATAAGAAAAATACTAGAGAGCAACCAGTGCTGGGGAGAGTTAGTTACTTTAGATGTGGCCTGCGGAGGTGACATTGAAGCTTGACAGATAGGATATGGCAGGCAGAGGGAGTGAAAGGAATCTGGGATAATCCTGGATTTAGGGTTTAACTTAGTGTACTCACAGTGTGCCCCAAGGCCTGTGCCAGACTGCAAGCTGTCACCTTGAGATAAGTATAGAAATGGACAGTAACCACTAAGGAATTTTTATAGCAGTTCGACAAGGAAATATATTTATGAATATAATAATTTTGTACTCCTTTTAAATTTCATTTTGCTGGTAGTTCATTTGTATTTTATTTTATAAAAGTACAGAGTTGGCCAGGTGCTGGTGACTCATGCCTATAACCTTAGCTACTTGGGAGGTTGAGATCGGAAGGATCACAGTTTGAGGCCAGGCCAGGCAAATAGTTCTTGAGATCTCATCTCCAAACTACCTAGAGTAAAATGGACTGGAGGTGTGGCTCAAGTAGTAGAGTGCCTGCTTTGCAACCACAAAGCCCTGAGTTCAAACCCTAGTACCACAAAAAAAATTAAAAAAGAAAGAAAAGGAAAAAGAAAACATTTAAAACTTGGTTTTCCCCATAGACAGTGTAAGAAACACTGGTTTAACCCCTTAAGTGAATACCCCTTAAGTGGTACTATTTCCTGAGATGAGGAAGAACAGGCTAGGAGTACGTCCAGGGGACAGAAATCAAGTGGGCATTATTTGGGTCCCACTAAGTTTGAGGTGTCCATGGAGTACCATAATATAGAGTCCGTCCTTGGGCATGTGATCTGGCTCTGGAGACAGGCAGGCTTAGAGTGATGGCTCTGACATAGGGAAGGTGTCTGAAGCTGTGAGTTTGGATGAGAGACCCAAAAGGAGGGGAGCAGAAGCCAGCAGAGGACACTGGCAAGATGTCACTCAAGAAAGAGAAGGAAAACTGGTACAGTGAGTCGTGGACACCAGCAGAAGAAAATGTTTCAAAAAGGAAAAGTAGTCATCTCTGACTAATGCTGAGAGTCAAGCAAGAACAGACAAGCAATGATGCAAACTTGGAGACTGGCAGTAGCAATTTCAGAGCAGTGCAAATGCAGTCTAATTAGAGTGGGCTAGCAAGAGAAGAGGTGCCAAGCAATCATCCTCTAAGTACAGAGTTATTTCAAACAGTTTTGCTGTGATGGGAACAGAGAGAGGCAGTGAAGGCAGATGTGGGGTTGAGAGAGATTTCATTCAAGACCAATCTTCCTCAAGTATATATATCAGAATGTCTCATAAAGAGAGGAAGTTGGTGATGGAGGTCTGCCTCAGAATGCAGTGCAGAACAGCTTTGCCAAATAACTCTGTAGGCAGTTGTGATGAAAATTATATTCCACCTTTATTCCGTCCCACACACACTTCTCCTGGGGCTCCATGTTCAAGGTAAGGAATCAAGCCTGCTTCGCTAAGGCAGTTTGGGATGACAGTAGAAACACTGAAATTTCCTTTAGTACTCCATGAAAATGAAGGAGAAATAGAATATGCCTGGTTTATTGAGATTTCATAACATAAATCTAACATCTGAATCTTTAAAAGTTGCATCCTCAATTATACTGATAGACAGGTTCTTCCTCACTGTAGAAATAGAAATTGAAACATGTGTCATTTTGCCAGGAATACAAAATTTCAAGCTTTGAACAGAGGCTGATGAATGAAATAGAGTTTCGCCTGGAACGCACACCCGTTGATGAATCAGATGATGAAATCCAACATGACGAGATCCCCACGGGCAAGTGTATTGCTCCCATCTTTGACAAAAGACTCAAGCACTTCCGGGTTACAGAAGGGTCTCCAGTCACCTTCACCTGCAAAATTGTTGGGATACCTGTTCCAAAGGTAGGGAAAGATGACCAGCCAGTTGACCAGTCAACAGCAAGCAACTATAGACAGTGCTTTTAAGAAAGTCTCACCTGGGCCAGGGATGTAGCTCAGGGTAGAAGTGCTTACCTTGCATACAGCAAGGCCCTGGGTTCAATCCCCAGCACTGTAAAAAAGGAGAAAAAAAAATGTCTCATACTCTAGTGAAGTATCCATAGACAGTATGAAAACCAATATCAGAAAATTAGCAAAATCCAGATATTTTGGACTAAAAACATACAAGAATAGGCTCATTAGGGCTGGGGAATGTAGCTCAGTGGTAGTGTGCTTGCCAGGTCCTGAGTTCGATCAGGACCTGAGTTCGATCCTCAGCACCACAAAAGAAAAAAAACAAAAGGACTAGGATCATAGGATCATTAAATAGTCAGACCAAAAAGAAATCAGACTTAATCAGATGCTGGGGATTGAACCTAGAGCCTTGTGCATACTAGGTAGATACTCTACCACTCCCAGCCCTTAATTAGAATTTTAACAAAAGTTTAAAATAAATTTCTTAGTCATGATACTTTATTTTGGGCTATTGATTCTCTTAGCCATCAAATTCATCAAAATGATACTTTTCATTCTATTTAAAATCTCCTGGATATCCACAAAGATATCCTGTTGCTGTACAAAGTGAGCTATATTTGCAGCGTTACTCTTAGGTTGGTAAATGCCAAAAATGTCATATTATTATCACTGGCTGCTGAAAAATCTTATGAGTCACCAGATCGTTTGGCAGTTAGCTGAGAGAAGGATTTGCACCTGGCATGGTAGTGGGGGGGGAATCTCTGCTCTCCTTTCACAAACATTGGCATGGTGATATCATGTATGGTTATGTAGCCAGGAAAGTGGGCAGCTGCAGCCAGCACTTTATCCATCCCCCTCCCTGCCATCTCCATCTTTAAGAGATCTCCTTGAGTTAGGCGTCAGTGCTTCACGCCTGTAATCCTAACTACTTGGCAGGCCAACCCAGACAAACAGTTCATGAGACCCCATTTCCAAAATAACCAGAGCAAAATGGACTGGAGGTGTGACTCAAGCAGTAGAGAGCCTGCTTTGCAAGCTCACATGAAGCCCTGAGTTCAAACCCCAGTCACACCAAAAGAGAAAGAGAGAGAGAGACAGAGACAGAGACAAGAGACACTTCTGAAAATGTATGTATTTAAACTTTGGCTAGATAATAGATAAATTTAGCCAACTATTCCTAGCTTTATTCTATTTGGTATCATTTCAAGCAAGATGAGCTATTCCAGGTGCTGAGATCTGTGACTACAGAACACTTGAGCTTATAAGTAGGGTAATAGGGAAGGATCCAGGCTCCTGGTTTTCATTATTTCATTTCTGAAGACACTTCAGGTCCTTAGGGTATCTTTTAACCTAATCATAAGGTACAATAAAAATACTATAGTCAAAAGCTTTATCGTAACCCTAAACCATACTGAATTTTTGACTTACATGTTGTATAGGTATTGGTGGAGGGGCATATCATATTGTACCACCATTTTGAATATGTTTTAGCTTGGGGTTTTTTTCTTTTTTTTTTTTGGTAGTACTTGGGTTTGAACTCAGGGTCTTGCACTTGCTAGGCAGGTGCTCTACCACTTGAACCACGCTCCTAGCCCTTGAATATTTTATAACTTTTTTCCAAGTTCTTGCAAAAGGCTGAGTGACTGGTAGAGATGGTGACTGGCCCTGGTCTCACCCTGTTCCTACTTCTTTAGCACACAGTACATCTTTATCAACAGCACCTTGATTATCTTTCGCTTCAGGTTTACTGGTTCAAAGATGGGAAGCAGATTTCTAAGAGAAATGAGCACTGCAGAATGAGACGAGAAGGCGATGGGACATGCTCTCTGCACCTTGAATCCACCACCAGTGATGACGATGGCAACTACACCATCATGGCAGCCAACCCCCAGGTGGAGACGGGGTTCCGAGCTGGGTTGCACTCAGGAGAGAGCCTTGGTGTCATTGTGAATGAGGCCTTGAGGAGTGCAAGTTACTAAGCATTGCTGAGGAAATGAATAAGAAGCATCGTGATTGTGTGTAACTAGAGCACAGTGTCATAGCTTAAAAGACCAGTTAAGCTGATGGGTCACTCAGCCCTTCAGCTTCTGCCAAAGGACATTGGTACTCTCTCTTCACTGTGTGGACCAACCAGACCTGTGTGATAAACCAGATCTTGTGTTTATCAACTCATTGACTCTCTTGAAGAGAGAAAATTACCAAAGAATGATTTATCCTTTCGAGATTAGATAAATTACTTCAAAAGGCTTTAAATGCCCCTCAAATTCATAATATCCTTTTTTCATTGACCTTTTTCTGTTTTTTTCATATATTCCTATGCCAAATAAAGCCAATAATTTAAGTTTCCCTAAAAGATACAGCAGAATAAATATTTTCAACTACTATTGGACTAGAAAGTATAGAACTAGTTGAGCATGGTGATTCATATTTGTAATCCCAGCATCTGAAGGCCGAGGCAGGAACCTGGGCTATACAGTGAAACCCTATCTCAAAAAAAAAAAAAAAAAAAACAGAAAAGAAGTATAGAACTATAATTTCTACTTTCATCCACTCTTCCTATTAAAATGTCAGTCTTGGTGAATTTCTGTTGAGGAAAGCATAAAAATACCTGGCCACATTCTCTGCCTTGTGGCTGCAAATAATGTTTAGTCCGTGAGAATTCAAACAAAATTATTTTCACATTCATGCTCTGTTTGTTTCTTGGGTTAAAAATGAAAATCACTACAATACTCTTAAATATCTCTCTTGCTGGAATACTGATAGTGATTTAAGAAGTTTATCAGATTATCTTCATTCCTCTCTCCCAATGAAAATTTTATAGTAGCAAAAAAAGTTTTATAATGTTCTGGTGCAAAAAAATTACACAAATTAAAAAATGTGGATTTCTTCTTATTTTAATCTTGTTGGTTTTCTGTTTCTCAGGGAAGAATCAGCTGTTCTGGCCATTTGATGGTACAGAGTTTGCCCATTCGCAGCCGACTTACCCCTGCCGGTCAGTCTCACAGGTACAGAAGTGCAAATCCTTTCTCTGGGCCCCACCTCGTCTACAACTTGTCACTTTGCCTCCAGCTGCAGCACCAGCAGCAACTGGGAACTTTTGGGAAATGCAGACTCCCAAGCCCCACCCCAGATCTACTCAATCAGATTCTGCCTATTTATGAAGTCCCCAGATGAGTCACAGACACATTAAAGTTTCAGAAGTATTGGTCTTCGTCACAATTTTAATAGCTCAAAATTGAAACCATCAGTAGATACCTGTGCACATAATATATAAATCAGACTGAATGAAATTGCCATCTTTTCTATAGGTCATAAACTTTTAATGAGATGTAGATGTAATATTTCTGTTGCTATCTCCACTACAACAACTGGTTTTCTTCCTCTCTGATTTCACTAACCACGGAAAAGAAAAAGCCTGGCTTTCCCGGTGAGTCAGATGGTGCCACATAGTCTTAGCAAGCATTCCATAGTTGCTGACACGGAAGAATTAAATGTGACTTAGCAAAGGAACAAAAATAGTGACCCATGTTTCAGATACAGTATTTCACTACTGTTGCAATTATACCTTCTTCTTTTTCAAGAACAGCTGTTCCTGTTGGTTTAAGCTCGTGGTCATCTTTAATGGTCTGTCATAATTTATAGTCAGGTTAAATTTTATTACTTTAAAGACACAGAAATTGCAGCTGCTTTGTTCTGGATAATAAACAGTTCTTCTCTTTTGGCTGTCATTTGAAGTTCTGATTGAAGACTTATTTGTTTATTTTGATGACTTTTGAACAACTGTTCAAAGGAAGCTGAGCCACCTAACCCAGATGACTTCAGAGAGACAGACGCTAAGGCCTGTCTATTTGATTACAGATTTCACAAGATAATCCTGCAGTGTAGGAGACACTTGCCACTTTTTTACATCAGGTCCATACCAGTAATTATTATTCATTACTATGCATTTCTTTCGCCCTCAAAAAAAAAAAATCTGTTCTCCCTATGATCCTATAGCCATGCCTAAATACCTATTGTTGAATTTGGTAATTGGTTTCCGTGTTTGATGCCTGAACATGCTTGTCACAGGGGAAGGTCCCGAGTGCAAGAAAGAGACAAGGAGCCCCTACAGGAACGCTTTTTCCGACCACATTTCCTGCAGGCTCCTGGGGATATGGTGGCTCACGAGGGGCGCCTCTGTCGGCTGGACTGTAAGGTAACACCCAGCACTCCACATCTGTTCAGATTTTGTATTTGATCGTTTATTTGCACTTATTTTTGTTTGTACTTGTTTCTTTTGTTTTTTTTCCCCCTCTAGGGAAGGGAGAGAAATCTTCTTTTTTTCCAATAGGTTCTTTTGGAGCATTTAATACTAGACAAAATTCTTTCATGAAATCTTAAAATCATTGTATCTTAATAAAATGTCATTGGTGTTGTATCAAGTTAACTCTGCATTTTTAGGAGACAAACAAAGAAGTAATTTAATTTGGACATTTGCCATATGGTTCCTGGAAAGCCTTTATTACTCTGAAGCCAAAATTGTGATTTTTGCATCCTTCGAGTGACTATCATGAGATGTAGCCTTTAAAAAAGCTTAAGGCTTGAAAAGATGGCTCCAATGCAATTTATGTGAGCAGAAAATGGCTTCAGCTTTAGCAGTTCTTCATTGTAATTTTTCAGCTCTCTCAAGCAGGACAGAGATCAACTCTTCCACCTCAAAGATGCAGAATGGTACAGAAAATTACATGCAAATTATCAGAGGCTTGAGGTTAAGCATTAATAAAGAGTCCACTTCAATAGATGCCTCTTGGCCTCGAGGTGTGGCTCAAGCAGTAGAGCGCCTACTTTGCAAGCTCAAACCCCAGAGTTTGAACCCCAATCCCACCAAAAAAAAAGTTCTATAGATAGCTCTTGCTCTCCTATTGGCTGCCTAAATTTTCAGCTTGCCTGTTACTCCTCCCACTCTAAAACATATCAGCACCAGAGTCCCATCCCCAGAGAGTCTGATTTCACACTGTAAGTGGGCATCGGGACTTTTTTTTTAACATTCTCCATGTGGGTATAATATGAAGTAAAATTTGAGAACACTCAATATCTGATCTTTTTCTGATCTAATTCTTACTTCTTAGGTATGGAAGCCATTTACCATTTCTGATTTTGCTGCTGCAGGCCTAGTTCATCTATTTAGTTTAATTCTTATTTATTCGAATCTAGAATAAGATCACATGGATTAATTATGACCTCAAACGCACCAAACAGTTTAAATTCAAGCAACTGTTCACTCAGATCCCTTTGACATTGTAGTCCCAATGACATGGCAGAGAGGTTCTCACCAGTCCACTGTTTTCTTTCACTACATATCTGGTGCCAAGCAGGGATAAAGAATTCAACCACCAAATAAATCTGCCTGTCATCAATCTGTCATTTCCTTCAGCTGTCCTGTTGTTTATTAGGTGAGTGGCTTACCACCCCCAGAACTGACATGGCTACTCAATGGCCAACCTGTGCTACCAGACGCCTCCCATAAGATGCTGGTCAGGGAGACAGGAGTCCACTCTCTACTCATTGACCCGCTCACCCAACGCGATGCAGGGACCTATACGTGCGTGGCTACCAACAAAACCGGGCAGAATTCCTTTAGTCTGGAGCTCACTGTAGTAGGTAAGGTTTTTTGCTGGGACCCCCCCCCCAGGCATAACTCCCTCCAAAGTAATTGTGTGAATATGAAGGACCTCTGACAAATTCCTTAGTCTTTTGCCCCCAATCCCAGCTTCTCTTTCACTTAGGAAGGACCATGTTTTCAACATTGCTTTCAAAGTTATGTGGTAATATGAAAATGTGGTACCTTGCACATATTACACATGCAATAGATGGGAGCCATTGTACTAGTTCATTAAGCAAGCAATTAATTAATTAATTGACTATTGCTAAATTCCATTCCACTTGCCCTACAATGATTCCTGGGACATACCTGGCTCTTGCATCCCCCTAAGTTGCATGCCTTTGCATCAATGGTCCCTCTACCCAGAATGCCCTTCTTCACTCAGTCACCTCCTACTCATTCTTAAAGCCTAATTCAAGTATCTACACCCAGGACCACTGAACCCACCAGGTACTCCTCTCTCCCTCCTATGTTTCCTTAACACTTAGGACAAGAGGGACTTACTGGGCACTCGTGGCCTGCTGTGCAATTGCTCACTTGTTTGCCTCCCTTCAGAACTCTGAGCTTCTGAAGCCAGAGACCTGGCTTGGAGTGTCTAACTCCCATGTCAGCCATGCTGCCTGGAACATGGAAGGTGCTCAGCTAATGCTGAACTGATAACTAAATAAATGACCTCTAGTCTTACGAGATGATAGGAACCAAACCCAATGTCTACAAAAAGGGCAGCGAGCTGTCATTACCCAACCTAGCAGGGCAGTGGGCCAGCCAGATTAAATGCACAATATAGGAATTCTAGGGTTAGGCTCGCATCTGCTATCTGGGTGGCTTCTCAAGAAAATCAGGGTGGCTTTAGCCATTCCTCTCTTTAGGCAAGTAGCTGTCCCAGTGCTTCATGTCCTCCCCTACCCCATGTATCCTTTGCCTTTCTCCTTCTTTTTTTTTCTTTCTTTTTTTTTTTTTTTTTTTTTGTGGTACTGGAGCTTAAACTCAGGGTCTTCGCCTTGAACCACTCCACCAGCCCTATTTTTGTGAAGGGTTTTTTGAGTTAGGATCTCTCGAACTTTTTGCCCAGGCTGGCTTTGAACCACGATCCTCCTGATCTCTGCCTCCTGATCGCTGCATTCTAAGTAGCTACCAGTTGCCTGGCCGCCTTTCTCACTCTTAATTTCTTCTTGCCAACCGAACAGGAAAGACACATTTTGCAAGGATGCTTGATTGCAGGATTTGACCTTTTTTCTAGTCAATGTTGCCAAAATATTGACTTTGCAGCCCTGACATACGAGATTCTGGCTGAAGAATGTGTGTGTGTGTAAATATAATAGCTCTGTAGGTGTTTAGTTTTTTTCAAAATAAAAATCTGTGGGAGGTCTGACAGACTGGCTCAAATGGTAGAGCACCTGCCTAGCAAGCATGAGGCCCTGAGTTCAAACCCCAGTACTGCCAAAAAAAATGTGGAGAAATTAATGTATCCTCTATGAAATAAACTCCAAAAAAGAAGAAAAGAATCACTTCTATTATACAAAGCATATTGTTTCTCAAAAGTCACTGCTGAGTAATAGAAGAAACTCCTTTAATCCCATCGTTCCTAGTATTTGCATCCCCTGCTGTGGCCTGGGGCCTTGGGTATTGTCTCAAATGGCCTATGTAGAGATGAGTACCCCCATTTCTTTCTTAACCATTCATGGAGCTTTACCAACGCAGTAATCCTCACTAAGAGGCGAGGTGGGTGTGCCTACTTTGCTAGATTCCGGAGTAGAGTGAGTTGAGGTGTGAACCTCAAGATGCTTGCTTTCAAACAAACAAAAAAAAAAGTTGCTTCTCTTGTTCAGCCAAAGAAGTGAAGAAAGCGCCTGTGATCCTGGAGAAACTGCAGAACAGTGGTGTTCCTGAGGGCCACCCAGTGAGGCTGGAGTGCCGTGTGATAGGCATGCCACCGCCCGTGTTCTACTGGAAGAAAGACAACGAGACCATCCCCTTTACCAGAGAGAGGATCAGGTACAGCAGCGCCAGCTCCAGAGACCACCACACTCCGTAGAGTTTTTTGGGCTGCCCAAATAAGTCTGTAGCCTTTTGATTCTGGCTTCTTTCACTTAGCATACTGCTCTTGAGTTTCACCCATGTTTATTGTACATATCAAGAATTTATTCCACTTGGAAGTGTGGCTCAAGTGGTAGAGCACCTGCCTAATAAGTTCAATGCCCTGAGTTCAAAAGAAAAATAAGAATTCATTCCTAAATTGGGCATATTGGGGCATGCCTGTAGTCCCAGCCTGATGCAGAGGCAGGAGGATTTAAAGTTGAAGACCAGCATGGGCTACATAGTGAGACCCTGTCTCAAAAAAAAAAAAAGAATTTGTTCCTTTTTGTTGCTGAGTTCATTATATTTATATCGTTAAATTTTTAACAATACTGGGGTTGGAACTCAGGGCCTACACCTTGAGCCACTCCACCAGCCCTTTTTTGTGATGGGCTTTTTCAAGAGAGGGTCTCATGAACTATTTGCCCAGACTGCTTTCAAACCACAACCCTCCTGATCTCTGCCTCTGAGTAGCTAGGATGACAGGTGTGAGCCACCAGCACCCAGCTTTAATTTTTAAGTTTAACTGCACAGTAGAATTTTATAAAGATCTTGCAGTCAAACTAGTGCCCAGAAAAGCTCTTTAAAGTAAAAAACAATGTTAGTCATCTTTCTGCCACTATAACAAATTGCTGAGACAATTTATAAAGAGAAAAGCTCACAGTTTCAGAGGTTCTAGTTGGGATCAGGGACCCATTGTTTCTAGGCCTCTGGTGGAAGTGCCATGGCAATGGTGGAAGCACCTGGTGGAGCCAAACTGCTTCCCTCATCCCCAGGAAGCCGAGAGGAAGAGGAAGGAACTAGGGTCACACCATCCCCAGTGAAGGCCCACTCTCAACAACCTGCCGACCTTCCACTTGGCTCCACCTCTTAAAGGTTCCACAGCCTCCCAATAGCATCCTCTGGGGACCACACCTTTAATACATGGACCTTCAAGGGACACTTAAGGTCCAAACTATAACAAAAGCTAAAATGCAATAAAACAGCAAGGAATTTGTACTCCTTTCCATCCTTCCTCAAGTGGTTGTGGAGGCTGTGAAGAACCCAAGCAGGATGCCTTGCTCTGTTTTCCCTAACCAACCTTATTTCTTTGCCATTTTGGTGTTATGCCACAAGAGGGAGAGATAGCTCTAAACAAAGTCTTTCCTCTGAAAACTTTCTCCACAGTGAACTCAATTTGTCTCAGAGGACATGATAGTTCGGTTTTACAGAACGTTGGCATCTAAGATATATAATGTGTGCAGTATATAGCAGCATGTCAGCATTTTTCTCTGGAAAAATGTAAGCCAGAACAGAGAATATTTTTGCGTTAACACTTTAGTTCAAATTAAAGTAACATGTTAAACTAGAAAAAAAAAAAACGTATTATGCTAGGTAAACCTCCCTGTGTCCCTCTTAAATGGAGAGTCTAAAATTTTAAGTATGGTTTTATTGGGCAAAAAAAAATCAACACGTGGAAAGCACATCCCCAGTCAAGGTTGCCTGTGGAGGCTGGTGGCTGCTCAGCCTCTGGACTCTGGGAACTATCTTGGATTAGTCACTGCTGCCCAGGGGGATGGCAGCCTAAGACTCAGAGACCACTGTCCATTCACACAGTTTCCTCACCTTTGGTAAAAAAAAAAAGACTGCTGGTATCTGTGAGAATAAGACATTCTGAAACTTTAAAGCTGTAGTCATTTGTTTCTGGAAAGCCACACACCTGGGATCATCAGAATGGCCCCAAACATAGACAGATAAGTGGATAGACAGACAGATAGATGATTGATAGATAGATAGATATCAATCACTGTGCTATAATTATGGTTTACATGTCCCTGCCTTCTCACCTGGATGTCTTTGCTCATGGCATTCCTTCTTTGACAACTCTCTTCCTTATGCCTCCTCCACCTGCCCTGCACCCAGTTCTCTTCCCTAACATCTGTGATCCCTCCAGGCTCAGTTCAAAATCATCTCTGCAAAGAGCAGCAGCGCCCCTGCTTCCTCCCCTCCTGGTCCAGGACTGAGATGGTGTTCTGCTGGCATGCTGTTGCATGCTGCCACTGTTAGTGTTGCTGCTCTCATCCTGTCCTAACTGGACTTGAGCATCGTGAGGGCAGGGACCTTGTCTTCTTTGTCTTTATATGTCCTGCCTCCTCCCAGCACCCAGCACCAGGCCTTTCCCTGACTAGCACTCCATACAGGAGAAATGCAGGAATTTCCTCTGTGAGCTCCTCTCCTCCCTGAACTACACTGATGGTAGCATTTCAATGTGTCTCTCTCTCTGACCCCGGCTCCTAGTCAGTCCTCCTCGCCACTGTCACAGTGATCTTTTATGAACGCAAACTCTTCATATCACTTCCTGCTTAAAAATATCTTTCAGAGGTTTCCCATCACCTGAAAGGAGAGTACTATGTTCATGTGGACCTGCCTCCTGCTTTCTTTATAGCCCCCCGCCATCACCTTCCCATATGCACTGTGCCCCCGCCATAGTGACCATGTCACACTGGGTCCACATGCCTTTGCATAGGCTCTTCTACCACCTGGAGCAGCTTCATCCCCAACCTCTACCTTTTACTTACTTATTTTCTTACTCTTAATATTTGGAGGGAGGCTTTTGAGACAGGGTCTCACTATGGAGCCCAGGGTAACCTCAAACTCACAATCCTCCTACCTCTGCCTCCTCAATGCTAGGATTACAGGCATGCACCACCATGCCTGGGTTTTTTGTTTTTTTTTTCTTCTCCATCTTTTCTTTTCTTTCTTTCTTTAAAGGCCCTGAGGTCCAACACAGGGCCTGGCACATGCTATACAAGTGCTCTGCCTCTGAGCTACATCTCTAGCCCTTGTGACTTTTTATCTTCAAATTTGCCTTATGTTTGTCTTCACTTGAGTTCTCCTTTCTTCCCTTTAGGAAGGAAAAGATCTAAGAGTTTCCCTCAGCCCTGCAGTTGACAGACTTTCTTCTGCTCCTAGATAAAAATGGGTGTATTCTTTCTTTTCTCCAGTATGCACCAGGATGCAACAGGGTATGTCTGCCTCCTCATTCAGCCAGCCAAGAAATCAGACGCTGGATGGTACACGTTGTCAGCCAAGAATGAAGCTGGCATCGTGTCGTGCACAGCGAGGTTGGATATATATGGTAACTATTACGTCACTAGTTCAATGTCTGTGTGTGATGGGTAGCTTTTTTTTTTTTTTTTTTTTTGCGGTACTGAGGTTTGAACTCAGAGCCTTGCACTTGCTAGGCAGGTGCTCTACCACTTGAGCCATACCCACAATCCTGTTCGTGTTGGTTATTTTTGAGATAGGGTCCCACTTTATGCCTAGACCAGCCTGGACCATGATCCTCCTATTTTTGCTTCCCTGCATAGCTGGGGTGACAAGTGTGCACCACCACACCCAGCCTCTCAGCCTCCCAAATAGCTAGGATTACAGTCTTGAGCCACCATGTCTGGTACAGGAAGTTTTAAGAATCATTTTTTAAAGGATCAGTGTAGTACCTTTTCATAAATGAAGTGGTTAGATTACATTATAATTTAGTGCTTAAAAGATGGATTTTGATGTCATCTCTCTTCTAGTTTCTTCAGGGCTTTTGTACACTTTTATGTTCTGTTGAGCTTAACCTTCTTCTAAAAGAGGGCCTCTAACACCCTCTTTAGGAGGCCGTCGCTGGTCCTCAGCTTTCATGTACTTGTACCCCTCACCATCCGGTACCTTCCTCCTGCCTCCTGCTGCAGTGGGTCACCCACCAGAACTCACCACTGCTGTGACGTCCAAGCAGAATTTTCCAGACCCCATTTATTCATTTATTAATTCAGTTAATGCGTATTGCTCCAATCCCCCAGTCAGACTTCCCTATTAATAGAGCTGTAATAAGTGACATTTAAAGTGACATGATTAATAAGGTGGTACCTTGGATTCTCCAGGCCCCTGAGGTTATTGTAATTATTGTCTTCCTCATTTAAACACTGGAGGAACCAAGACTCAGACACATCCATGATACAGGTAGGAAGCAAATCCAGGTCTTCAAAGCATTCCTTGGAGCCATGTTTCTGATTTTCAAAAAGATTAATTTTAAAAATCTTTATTGGGCTGGTGGAGTGGCTCAAGTGGTGGAGTGCCTGCCTAGCAAGTTTAAGGCCTCAGTTCAATTCCCAATACCACCAAAAGAACAAAAATTAATCTTTATTAATGTATTTGTGTATTGCAGTCCTCTCCATTATACTTTTTGACATTAACTGGTTTGGGTTTTTTATTGTTTTAATTTTGTTTTTTGGTGTTGTTTTTGAGACATGATGCTTACCCTAAAAGAATGTTCCATTTTTTTGTCTCCTTTTTTTCAAATAATCAGTTAGGTCAGTATGTTATGTGCTCATAACTGACCTAAAATGATCAATTAGAATAATGAACAGAAGCAACTCCTGTCTAGAACTGAGGGCCCAGCTATTTATAGGCACACACCAGATATCCCCTGTATCTAGTAATATACAGGAGGGGCTTGGCCTGCCATTTTTCCAATAAACTGAAGTTTTAGAAATGTATAGGTTCTGATTATTCTCCTCTAACCTTAGTAGAAGAGATAATGTGTGCTTCTGCTTCTATGAGTGATATCGATGATAAGTTGTCACAAGGAACAGAAGAAATACTTGCTACAAATAACCCCAACATCTCTTTTGTTGATAATTTTTTTTGCAGGGGAGTGAGACTAGAGTTTGAACTCAGGGCTTTGTATTTGCAAAGTAGATTCTCTTCTGCTTGAGCCAAACCTCCAGTCAATTTTGCTCTGATTATTTTGGAGATGAGGGTCTCTCACACTATTTCCCAGGCTGGCCTCAAACCTTGATCCTCCCAGTCTCAGCCTCCCAAGTAGCTAGAATTACAGCCACTGGCTCTGTTGTTGATAAAATTTCATTTCAGAATCTAATACCAGAATATATAAAGCCATATTTTTGGAGATGCAAAGACTAGGCCATAATCCTCTGAAAATATTCATTAAAACAAAGCCATCAAATAAAAACAAATTGAAAATAATCCAAAGAAATAATGTTATGGGATACATAACTTTCAGAACATTTGGAATAAAAAAGAGGGCCTGGGGTTGTAACTCAATGGTGTTTGTGTAGCATGCACAAGGCCCTGCATTCAATCACCACCATCACACACACACATAACTTCTAATACTAGAAATTGCTGTCCAGTTAAGACATCAGAGAGAGGGCTGGAGTTGTGGCTCAAATGGTAGAGTACCTGCCTAGTAAGCTTCAAGTCCTGAGTTCAAACCCCAGTGCAGGGAAAAGACAAAAGAACATGTCATTAGTTTGGGGTTTTTTGGGGGAAGGGGAAGGTTGGGGGTTTTTTTGTTTGTTTTGTGTGTGTGTTCATTTGCTTGTTTGAGACAGGGTCTTACTAGTTAGTCCAGGCTGGTCTTGAACTTGGGATCTTCCTGCCTTAGCCTCCTGAGTAGAGTACAGGTGTTTACCGCAAAGCCCAGCTACTAAAAGATTGTTGTTAGTGGAATCACTACAGATTTTGCCCTCAGGTTGTAGCTTCCCAAATTTGATTTTCTCAGTTCCCTTAGAGGAACTTATACTCTGAAAAGCTAATTCAAGGTAATAAAAGAACAAAGAACCAATTTATAAATCAGAATGCTAAATAGGGCACAGCTTTCTGGCACCCAGAGCCCCACCTAATGCACGTCTTCTCCACACCAAGGTCCCCAGAAACCTAATCAGGAGATTGCTTGGTAATTTCTGAATCGGAGACAGCAGTAAGACTGCACAGTTGGGTGGGCATTCCAGTCAGGCCATGTTCAGGTATAGGAATGAGCTCTGCTAAAAATGGTTCCTCCTTTGCACAGTGCTTGATGAACATGAAAACTCTAGTTAAAGTTCTCTTTTGACCTTGAATTACAGTTGATCGCATGTAAGTTCTTTTTCTGTCTTCTCGTTATAAGACATAAGAATCTGATTAGGGTTGTTGGTAGGTAGGTAACAGCTGCTTATCGAGGTTGCAGGGGGCAACCCATCTTTTTATTCCCGTGCCACAGGTTTCTTGTCCCCACCTTCTGAGAGCCCATAGTCCTCCGTCCATAGCCCCTCACAGATCCCATGTCATCCCAGTGCCAGGGACAATTTTGAGAAGTCACCCTTGTCACCCACATTTCCTTCTCATGGGCATTCTAGTCCCTGAGTTGGAATCACCGGTTTTAGAATTAGGGCCTAAGACATCACCAGCCCAGTTTCCCGGTTCTTGGCAGGAGAGGTTTCCTTGCTCCCTTTCACAAATGAGGCCTTTCGGATCCAGATATATTTAAACGCTTTACCAAGAATCCACAAGGAGTGTCTCTGCAGTGTCCCTGCTGGCCGTGTTGCTGGGATCCTAACACATTATCTGCTCCATTTTCCAGCTCAGTGGCACCAGCAGATTCCGCCACCCATGTCCATCCGGCCCAGCGGCAGTCGCTACGGATCTCTCACCAGTAAAGGACTTGACATTTTTTCTGCCTTTTCTTCCATGGAAAGCACAATGGTGTATTCGTGCTCTTCTCGCAGTGTAGTGGAGAGCGATGAACTTTAAGGATGTCTGGGTGCCTGCTGCGTGAGGGGGCGGACTGTGGAGGGGGGAGGAGTTCAAGCAGACACAGTGGTTTCCAAGCAACTGGATTTGAGTGAGTTCCCATACTGCTGGACCTGTGGCAAGAAGTGCTTTGAATAAGATGGCTGGGGACTCTTACCTGCTCTGCTGGGGAGAGCAACAGGGCTTTGCCTCAAAGATTCTAACAGAAATGTGAGCAGACAATACACATGAACCAAAGATATAATACCTCTGCCATCCACTGCTTTGGGGGAAAGCTAGTATGATCAAACCCCATGAGCAGCAACTAGGGGCCATAAGCCGGGGCTCAGAGAAGCCAGACAGTAGTGATCTTAGGCTAGAACTACTTTATCCAACAATGCAAAGGAAAAAGGAGGGGAGGTCACCATTGCGTCTCATGGATTACACCCATAGCAGTAGTTTTGGGGAATTCATTAAGTCAGCTTCACTGAGCATTAGTACAACTCATACATGTGGTATTTGCATACTCTGGGTGTATTGAGCTATATAATAAGGTATAAAAAATGTGCTTGAGATAAAAAATTCTCCGAAACACTCAATATTGCACAGTACACTTATTCTAACGTCAAAAACAGGGCCCCACCATCCTAACCACTCTATTTTCTTTCTGACGGTGACTAATTTTTCTTCTTGACTTTGCACATCCCTTGAGAACTAAAGGGCTGTTAATAAACCAATCAGAAAAAAAATCTGCAGGGTCACATTAGAAATAACCAGCTTCTTGGAGTGCCAGTGACTCATGCCTGTAATCCTAGCTTCTTGAGAGGCTGAGATTGGGAAGGTTAACAATGTGAGGCCAGCCTGGGCAAATAGTTCATGAGACCTCCATCTCCAAATAAACAGAGCAAAATGGACTGGAGGTGAGGTTCAAGTGGTGGAGCACCTGCTTTGCAAGGGTGAAACCCTGAGTTCAAATCCCAGTCCCACAAAAAAAAAATAAATAAAGCAAGCAGCTTCGACAGACTCCATGGCTCAAGCTTGTAATCCTAGGTATTTGAGCTACTTGGGAGGTGGAGAGCTGGAGAATCATGGTTTGAGAACAAATGGCAAAACGTCTGATACCCCCATCTCAACCAATGGCTGGATGCAGTGGCATGTTCCTGTCATCCCAGCTACTCTGGAAAGTACAAACAGTAGGATCACAGTCTGGGTCAACCTGGCATAAAATGAAACCAACCCAGCAAAAAGGACTGGTGGAGTGGTTCAAGTGGTAGAGCTCCCGCCTAGCAAGCACAAAGCCCTGAGTTCAAATGCCAGTACCACCAAAGGGGGAAAAAAAACAAAAACAAAAAGACACTGAGCTTCAGTTACCACTTGCAAAATGTGCAAAAATCATGATCATTTACTCAGAAAGTACAGCCCATGTTCTCCCGCCTCTCCCTAAAAGTCTGGAAGTGTAGGTGGCAGTAAGGAAGGAAGGGATGCAGACAGGAGGAAGTGATGGAGAACATTGGCTTTTCACTGAGCACACCAGAGAAGTTGCTGTGGAAGTAGACGTCTTTCATAGTTGTGAACAACTTTGAGATCATTGGTCAAACTGCATTTTCTAACTGGGCAGGTAGAAGGAAAGGGGAAGAGGCATCGCCCACCTATTCAAACCTGACTCCCAATTAAGGACTTTTTAGACTTGTCTTCACAGCAACAGCCCTTAGTGCCTAGAAGAATACCTAGCACCACCAGCCATTCAATAAATACTCACCGGTGAATGAATCTTGTATTAGATGCAAGAATCTGCGATTCACACAGCAGTCCAATCACTGCCATGGGAATGGTCAGCACACCAGTGTTTGCTCCAGGCTCACCAGGGAAATGAATTGAGGTGTCTTATCAATTCCTTTTGCTCAAATCTCTGGTGTTCTCTGTACCAGACCCCTGCAGCTGCCATCTTACTCAAGTGATTTAGGTAGAGATAGAAACTGCTTAGAAAGGCTTGAGACTTTCTTCGCTTCATGGCAAGGATTTCCAGTATAAAAATAAATTCACTCAAAAAATCATTTCTGTGTCCACTCTCTATAAGCTGCTGTACTAGATACTGTGGAAGACACAAAGATATGAAAGGCTGGGATGTGGATCAAGGAGGAGTAGAGTACCTGCCTACCAAGTGCAGGGCCCTGAGTTCAAACCCTACTGGTGCCCCCCCCAAAAAAAAGGTACAAATAAAACACAGCCCCTGCCCTCGGAGAGCTTACCTTCTAATAGGGAAATCATATTTAAGGCATGTAGAATGCTGCTTCTTGAAGGAAAGATGAATTATTTAGCAGACAGAAATTTGTAGAGCTCTTTATCCTATTTTTTCATAACTTAAAAAAGTCTTCTCAGTCCGGTGCTGGTGGCTCACGCCTGTCATCCTAGCTACTCAGGAGGTCAGGAGGTCAGGAGTCGCCATTCAAAGCCAGCCCGAGGAAATAGTCCACAAGACCCTATCTCAAATCACCCATCATGAAAAAGAGCTGGTGGAGTGGTCAAGGTGAAGGCCTTGAGTTCAAGCCCCATTACTGCAAAAAAAAAAAACCTTCTTAGTCTTTTTTATTTTTTTTTATTCATATGTGCATACAATGTTTGGGTCATTTCTCCTCCCTTCCCCCACCCCCTCCCTTATCCCCCTGTCCCCTCCCTCTCCCCCCCAACCCCCTCAATACCCAGCAGAAACTATTTTGCCCTTATTTCTAATTTTGTTGAAGAGAGAGTATAAGCAATAATAGGAAGGAACAAGGGTTTTTGCTGGTTGAGATAAGGATAGCTATACAGGGAGTTGACTCGCATTGATTTCCTGTGCATGTGTGTTACCTTATTTTCAGTCTTGATTTCTTTTTTTTTTCCCCCTAACTACTTCTCTACATGATTTCTTAATGAAACAAAATGCAATAGGTTACATCCTTAAGAAATATTTCAAATTATTCAGCAGAATTCTCAGATTTTGTTTCCTTTTTTATGTCTGCAGTAACAGTAGTAAACGATAGGCAACTCAAGGTAACAGAATGCATCTCACACAGAATGGGCCCTGTAAAATGTTCTGTTTGGCTTTGGCTCTCTTGTGTAATCTCTTATAAGCAAGAAGCACTCTAACTCCAAGATCGCACACCATCACAGTCAGCTTTCATAGACCCTAGACAGTCCTATGATGGGATAGTCTTCATCCGTACATGTCAGCTTTCTAGTAGTGTGTTCAATAAAGAACCAAGAGTAGTGCCTAGCAAGCGTGAGCCTTGACCTCCAAAAAGAACTAGGATAAAGAGCATACTTAGACACTAGGTGGCACTGTCTCACTCAAAATATAATGAGCCTAAAATTTTCCTGAAATTTGAGCTATGGGATCGTGTTAAATCGGGGTTTCTCAGCCTGGTCACTGTTGACATTTGGGACTGGATAATTCTTCGCTGGGGGAGGGGGAGATGTCCTGGGCATTGTAGAAACTCAGCAGCATTCCTGGCCTCTGCTTACTAGATGCCAGTAGCAGCACCTCCCCAAGTTGTGGCAACCCCAAATGTTTCCAGACAGTGCTATCTATTCCTGGGGAGGCTGAATTTAAAGTTCTATGTAAGCATGTTTCTATACAACGTGAATTGAGTCTAGGCAGTAATTCTTAACCTTGGCTGCACAGTAGACTCTCCTGGAGAGCTTTTCAAAAATTCCAACACCCAGGCCACACTCCAGATCAATTAAGTAAATAACCTCTAGGGTTGTAACAAAGGCATCCAGAGTTCTTAAAGTTTCCCAGATAGCCAGGTGCCAGTGGCTCAATCCTGTAATCCTAGCTACTAGGAAGCAGAGATCAGGAGGATCACGGTTCCAAGCCAGCCTGGGCAAATAGTTTGCAAGACCCTATATTGAAAAAACCCATCACAAAAAAAGGATTGGTGGAGTGGCTGTAGGTGTAGGCTCTCAGTTCAAGCCCAGGTCAGGTGATTCCAACATACAGCCTGGAGTGAGCTTTCTCTCGCTCCCTTGTTACTACTGACCTGCCTGGACCTAACTGGTGGTGACGGGAGATGCAGAAAGAACAATAGATAAACATGCAGAAAGTTGGGGTCAGGTGTGTTGGGCACTCAGATGGAGACACACAACAGCCTCATTGCTTCTTTTACTTCTCTTTGCTCTTTTTCTTTTCTCTATCTTTTCTTTAAGGCCTTGCTTCTAAAGTCTTTCTTTAAAACCTTGTTTCTAGTCTTTTCTGTTCTTTAAAGTCTCTTTTCTTAGACTCATTCTGTCCCATGTTTTCTCTTAGCTTTTCTTTAGCATAATCTCTCTTAAAGTCTTTGCCCTCAGACTTGCACTGTCCCATGTTCTTTCTTTAGCTTTCTTGAAGTCTTGGTGCTCAGACTTGCAAACAGCAGCAGCCGCATCTAAAAACTGCATTAGCATAACTCTTAAAGTCTCAGTCCTCAGATTTGCACTGTCCCATGTTCCCTTTAGCTTTTCTTTAGTGTAGCTTTTCTAAAACCTAAGTATAAAGTTCTTGGTGCAGGAAGCTGCTCTGGTGGAGATGCAGCAGCCAGCAACAGCTTCAGCAGCAGCCAATCAAAATCCCCCATCCAAAAGCCTCGTCTTCAGCGAGTCTTTTATATCCAGTGGTAAAGAAGGAGGTGGAGCAGCAGTTCTTGGGGAGGGGCGTGACATTGGAACAAGAGAAACCTGCTCTCTCCTTCTCTGAATGTAAACAACTTAGGAAAAGCAGCTGTTCTGCATCCTGCCTGGCTCTCTTCTGTGGCTGGGGCCACACCAAACTCAGCCAGTCATTGAGCACAACTGTACTTATGTAGGCTTCTCATAATCCACTCCCCACAATGGCCAAGGCTGAGAAGAATCATTTTATTATAGATTTTATTACATTTGATCACAGAAATTTCCCAGAAAAGTCTGAAGGGATACAGATGGCAGAAACCTATAGGGCTGGCACACATGCAGAATGGACTGCCCCTGGATGCACATGCAGTGTGTACCTGGAAAACAGAAAGAAAAAAAACACCTAAATTTGCTTCATTGCTAAGCTCACTAGACCTGTGGCACTCATGGAGCCCCCAGAGGAAGCTCAAAAATCTGTAAAAATGGCAAGGGAAAGCTGGTGTAATTCATCTTTGTTTCAAAAAGCCATAGGGTCCCCTAAGCATCCTTCTCTAGGTCTATGAACAATGTATATCATGGAGAATAATTCCCAGAGAACCCAGAAGCTGACTTTTATCGGAACAGGTTCATTTGAATAATCTTCAAGTGATACACAAGTTGCCCTCCAAATGTTGACTTATAAATTGGCTGTTCAAAACACAGGCTAGATTTCCTTACATGCGTATTTGTCCAATGCTGACTTCCAAGTGAACCCAGAAAAGCCCATCTAACAAATGACTAAATTATAATAGTTCTGTTACTCTAGTTGGATTATGATCCCAAGAACAAGGAGCCAATAAAAGGAGAAGAAAGACTACTCCCTGCATCTTTCTTTGTGTCTATGATGTGTCAGAGCTAGAGAGCATTTAAGGTCCTTTCTGCATCAGCCCCCACTTGGTGTTTCTCTCCCCAGGTGCCCATGCCCCATGTTCATAATCCTCACTGCTGTAACTTGTCCCTTGTCACCCCTTCCCCAAAGTCTGCCAGTGTACTACATGCTCCACAATATATGTTAACTCCAGCTCCCACATCTTGGCTTGGTGTTTAGAAGCAAGCATTCCAAATGAACAAATTCCCAGTGACTGAGTCTTTTAACTACACTGAGGTGCTGCGTTTTAAAAGCAATTTCGACCACAGCCTGGTGGTACATACCTGTAATCCCAGCTCTCTGGAGGTAGAGGCAGGATGGCCAGTTTGAAGCCAGCCTGGACTACATAGTGAGATCC